AGGCCTAGGACAGCGCTGTCTGGGTGATTTTCAACAGATCCAAATTTCATCAAATCCCACAAATTATGCCAATCACCCCTTAAATACTTTGGTCCGTTGGAGCCTATTTTTCTACTATAAAATGAGGTGTTTGGGTCTGTTTTACACATAACATTACTTCACAACTCCTACTCTTTCATTGCAAATCATTCTTTAATTATTCATAGCTTTTGATAGCCATTTTTGTGAAGCTTGTGTTGTGTTCTTGAGCGTTCTTAGTTTACTCATATCCACTCTTAAGGAGAGTCTTGTTCTTGAGTGTCTTAGTGTTGTATACACGTTAAGGGAAGCTTGTTTCCCTTGGTTGTACGAAGGAAAGGTATTTTCCTTCGGGTTGAAGTCTTGGAGTGCGGTATCTCCAAGCAAGTGTTGTTGAGGCTCGTGGGACTCGAGTTCTCAGGTTGTAACGGTTTGTTAAGCACCCGTAAGCTTAACGGAAGTAGTGTAGCTCGAGAGAGTCTCTCGGGAGACTGGATTAGCCACACGTTGTGGTGAACCAGTATAAATCTTGGTGTGCTCCCTTTACGCTTTCTACGCTCTTTACGTTTCACGTTCTTAATTTTTTATTCCTGCGATTTCTACGATCAAACGCTATTCACCCCCCCTCTAGCGTTGGTCACTTATTCTAACAAGTTCCGGCCTCTTGAACTCTATCAAAGCACCGCACTAGTTTGGCAAACAACCCTTGCCAATAGGATTTACTTCGAGATTTTACCACGGCTATCTCGAACCGTTTACAATGAAGATTTAACGGCTATCTTCTACCGTTCCCTCAAGGATTTCAAAGGCTATCCTTGAACCTCTACCCAAGGATTTATACATCTATCCTTAACCGTTACAACGTGAGAATTTAACGGCTATTCTCGACCGTAAGAAGGTGTGTTTGAAGAACACAAACAAAAGGTTCTACACAACGGCTAAAATATAAAAATGAAGAACAAAACTTAGCCGGTGTAGAAGGAAAGTATACTCTCTCAACAATACAATTCAAACTTATGAATATGAGAGTATATAACTAGAAACAAAAGCTCAAAGTGTGTATAAAATTCAGGAATTTAAGGATCTTGAAATAGCCAAAATATTGAAAATAATTGATAAAAGGATGAACACACTTAGAATAAAAAGAGAGGATGTTTAGAGCTTAGTTTCTTGTTGAAATATGAAGTATTAGGCCTAGATTTATAGTGGAAGATGTTAATTAGACGTTAGGACGTGATTAGAGTTGAATTATTTTAAAAATCAGCAATCAGGAATAGTGTTCCAACGGTAATGGTACCTTGTCACGGTAGCTAGGTCCCGTACGGTAGCTAGGTACCTTCTCAGGCAAAAACTCTCTGGCGGTACCAATACACGGTACCCCTTACGGTAGGGGGGCCTGTCTAGACGGTAGGGGGGTCCCGTACATACGGTAGGGGAGTCCCGTCTCAGATTAACTCACGGTACCTAGGTACCTTATGACCTTTTTGAAAATTTTTCATTTTTGTCCAAATCATTTCTAATTTTGTTTAAAACCTTTTGGATGTTTGAAAATGATTATAAAAGGGTTTTAAACATATATTGTGAGTGTTTTTGAGCTTGTGAATATAGGTATATAAAATCATATCCTTACATCAGTTTCTACCTAAATTCTACGCTAGTTTAGTATTTCGACTTCATTCTTGAGAACCGAATCTTAATGGATTCTTGTTGTACTAGAAACACTTAAACAAACGTCAAGCTCTTATATTGTTTGTTAACATCAAAATATGAGGCTTAGCAAACCAAGGCTAACAATCTCCCCCTTTTTGATGTTGACAAACAATATACTTCAAAGTGAGTTAAGAAGGAGTAAAATAATGATGCAAGCAAGCTCCCCCTAAGAATAAACATATTGGAAATACTCACTTTGAACTTTTCTTGTGTTTATTAAAAGTTTGATTTTGATGCAAATAGTTACACAAGAATGAACTCAAGTCAAGTTGCATATGCACCACTTTGAAGTATACATCTTCTCCCCCTTTTGTCAAAATCAAAAAGGGCATTTTGAAAATTTTAACCATGTATAACTTCTTGAAACAGTCCCCCTATCACAATGAATTAAAAATGATAGTTTGGATATCATTGGGCATAAAGTGCATTTACAACAAAACTCCCCCTAAAAACAAAAAACTCTCCCTAAAATGATGCAAGTTTTAAAACTTTATTTTTCAGGGATTTTTGGGGATTATTTTCAAAAATGCATGGATTTTAAGAAATTTTAATCATGCAAACCAAGGCTAAAACAAATAAAAACATGTGTGGGATAAGGTTTTATTTTTGAAAATAATTAAAACCAAACAAAATATCTTATTCCAATAAGTGAGAAGAATTTACCTTGGCTTATGCCGCTCTTTTTTCGGCTTTGAAAATACTTCTTTCCTCTTCACATAATTTTTCCATTTGAGGAAATCCGTATATTTTATTCTCATTGCCTTCTCTTCATCTTCTTCATCATTTGACTCTTCCGAAGAGCTTGAGTCACTTGAATCATCACTTGATTCACTAGACTCTTCACTAGACGAGTCTTTTGAAGCTTTGAAGGCGTTGGTAAGTTTGGGACTTTCACGCATTTCTTCCTCTTTGATCTTTCTCAACAAAAGTTCATAAGAATACAAGGAAGACCAAATGTGGGCGGTTTCGGCCTTATCACATTTGGGTAATAAATCTACTATACTACTATGCCACTCTTTAGGTAAAGAAAATAGAATTTTCGTATTAAGCTCGGAAGTAGTATATGTCTTACCCAACTTACTCAATTTGTTGACAATCTCGTTGAACCTCTTGTTCATGTCTTGGATTGTCTCACATGACCCTTTCTTGAAAGATTCGTATTTTGAATTCCCGAGGGCTAGCATGGTTTGTTTTGTTGAGCTGTCTCCTTCATGTGTAGCTTGGAGTAGATCACACACCTCTTTAGCCGTTTTGCAAGAGCAAACACGTGCGAATTTGTCGGGACCAAGAGGGCAATGCAAAATGTTAATTGCTTTTGCATTCATTGATAGCTTCCTCTTGTCTTCCGAAGACAAACCTGCAAAATCACCACTACTCGGCACAAATGGCCCGTGAAGTATATTCAACCATAAATCAAAATCAATTGATTGAATAAAATATTCAATCCGCATTTTCCAATAGGAATAGTTTTGACCATTGAAAAACGGAGGGCGATGAATGCTTTGGGAATCCATTTGATCCATTTTTCAATAAATTTGAATTTTAAAAAATTAGGGAAGATGAAGTTTTGAGATCTTAAAATTCAAATTTAAAAGGGACACAACAAGTGGATCTTTGTCGTAGATGCGATTAAGCACTTTCAACTACGAAACCGCTCTGATACCAATTGTTATTCGGTTTAGTCGTTGTGCCCACGCCTTAGAGGGGGTGAATAAGGCGTTTAAAAACTTTTCTGGGTTTAATAAAAACGGTGTTGGCAAATGCGGAAGCAATAAATAAAACGCAGAAATAAAAGCGTTAAGTAAAAGACACACCGATTTTATACTGGTTCGGAAACTCCCTACTCCAGTACCTCGAGGCTCCTCATCAAGGATTTTCGAATCACTAAGTTCCGGCCTCTTGAACTCTGTCAAAGCACCGCACTAGTTTGGCAAACAACCCTTGCCAATAGGATTCACTTCGAGATTTTACCACGGCTATCTCGAACCGTTTACAATGAAGATTTAACGGCTATCTTCTACCGTTCCCTCAAGGATTTCAAAGACTATCCTTGAACCTCTACCCAAGGATTTATACATCTATCCTTAACCGTTACAACGTGAGAATTTAACGGCTATTCTCGACCGTAAGAAGGTGTGTTTGAAGAACACAAACAAAGGTTCTACACAACGGCTAAAATATAAAAATGAAGAACAAAACTTAGCTGGTGTATAAGGAAAGTATACTCTCTCAAAAATACAATTCAAACTTATGAATATGAGAGTATATAACTAGAAACACAAGCTCAAAGTGTGTATAAAATTCAGGAATTTAAGGATCTTGAAATAGCCAAAATATTGAAAATAATTGATAAAAGGATGAACACACTTAGAATAAAAAGAGAGGATGTTTAGAGCTTTGTTTCTTATTGAAATATGAAGTATTAGGCCTAGATTTATAGTGGAAGATGTTAATTAGCCGTTAGGAGGTGATTAGAGTTGAATTAATTCAAAAATCAGCAATCAGGAATAGTGTTCCAACGGTAACGGTACCCTGTCACGGTAGCTAGGTCCCGTACGGTAGCTAGGTACCTTCTCAGGCCAAAACTCTCTGGCGGTACCTATACACTGTACCCCTTACGGTAGGGGGGTCCCGTCTAGACGGTAGGGGGTCCCGTCCATACGGTAGGGGGGTCCCATCTCAGATTAACTCACGGTAGCCCTCACGGTACATAGGTACCTTATGACCTTTTTGAAAATTTTTTCATTTTTGTCCAAATCATTTCTAATTTTGTTTAAAACCTTTTGGATGTTTGAAAATGATTATAAAAGGGTTTTAAACATATTTCGTGAGTGTTTTTGAGCTTGTGAATATAGGTATATAAAATCATATCCTTACTTGGGTTTCTACCTAAATTCTACGATAGTTTAGTGTTTCGACTTCATTCTTGAGAATCGAATTTTAATGGATTCTTGTTGTACCTGAAACACTTAAACAAACGTCAAACTTTTATATTGTTTGTTAACATCAAAACATGAGGCTTAGCGAACCAAGGCTAACACATGGTGTGGCTAAGCAGTTTGATGCCTCTGTAATTCTCGCTACTCTGAATGTCTCCTTTGCATTTAAACAGAGGGACCAAGAGACTCTCCCTCCACTCATCAGGCATCGTTGATGTCCGAATGATAACATTGAAGAGTTTAGTTAACCAAACCCTCGCACCATGACCCGCATGCTTCCAAAACTCCACCAGAATCTCATCTGGCCCCAGAGCTCTCCCACTACGCATCCCGCAGAGAGCCCGAACCACCTCTTCCTGAGAAATGCGCCGGCTAGGGGTGGGCACGGATCGAGACGGTCCAGATTTTAGGTTGTCCCATGTCTTGTCCCATTATATATAAACGGTCCGGAACGGTTCGGATCACAATCTAATCCCGGTTTGTCCCATAAAATACGGGATTGGAATAAAACGGGACGAATTCAGGTCGTCCTACTTTGTCCTAATCACAAATATAAGAAGGGGAAGAGGGTGACATTTCATTCAAAAAAAAGAAACATCTAGCCATCCAACAAAAAACAATGAGTGGAATGAGTCCAAATAAATTTCAAGCTCATGAAGTTAATTTAATTAAATAACTGATTAATTAAAGATTGAGTGTATTTGGATTTTGGACTAGAATTAGTATTATCTATTAGTAGAGTAGATGAAACGGGACAAACGGGACGGATCGGTATAAATTTAAGCTGTCCCGCTAAAGTCCCATTTGATATTGGGACGGAACGGGTTCGGGACAAAAAAATGTGTCCCAATATATCGGTACAATTACAAAACGGATCCGAGATTTTTCGGGACGGTCCAACGGGAACGGATTTCATGCCCACCCCTAGCGCCGACAATACACACGAGACGCCCCACACTGCCCCAACTCATCAAAAACTAGCCTCTCGTCTCCTCCCGCATTTAAGAGTTCACTAAAGTACTCCCCCCAGCGCTTAGCCACCTTGGCAGTCTCAACTAGCACACTACCATCGCTGTCCTTCACGCATCTCACGTGATCCAGATCTCGGGCCTTCCTCTCACGCACCTTAGCAAGCCAGATTATATATGAATTAAATATTTATGATAATATATATAAACTAATTATTAAATTATTAAATCAATATTCTTATTTATAAAAAAATAATCATAAAATAAATAATAGGCAGACGGAGGGAGTATTACATTATAATATGAATGATTATTCTAATATACTCCGTATGAATTAACTAGTTTTATAATTACTCCCTCCGTCCAGAAATGATGTTCCCATTCTACATTTTTTTTCGTCCGGGAATGATGTTCCCATTCTACTTATTTTTTACCATTCTTCCAAAACTACCCTCTTCTTCTTTTCTTTCTCTCTTTTTTTGTTCCAGTATTTCTTTCGGTTCTCCCTTTCTCCTCATCTTTCTCTTTTTCCCCTCCCCTCTTTCTCCTCATTTTTCATTCTTCTTCTTCTCTTTCTACGATCCTAGCTCCATCTTCTTATCTTTCTTCTTCTTCTTCTTCTTCTTCTTCTTCTTTCTTCCCCTTCTCTTTTTCCAATCCACTCAGATCCCCTTCTTTTTTCTTCTTCCCATCATCATCACCATCTTCTTTTCCTCCCTTTTTTTCTAGATCTGAACAGATTTGTGACAGACTCACCAGCCGCCTCTTCCTCTTCTTCTTCCCTTCCTCGCAGGTCTTCTTTTTCTTCCAAATCTGCGATGGAGAGGGACGGCGGCGATGGAGGGACTGGAAGTTGTGGTGGAGGCTGACGGCACTGTAGGTGTTGGTGGAGAAGGTGGGGTTGGCCGTGGTGGTGGGGGATGGCGGCGAGCGACGGACCGACGGTTGTGGTGGGGGGCTGGCGGCGACTGGGAATAGGTAGAGAAGGTGGGGTGGTAACTGGTAAGAGATGCAGGCGATGGGTAGCGGAAATTGGGTTCATTAGTGAATGGGTATTTTGGACCATTCATTCCCATAGTCACCCATTCTTAAAAATGAGGAAAAGTCAAACCGGGAACATCATTTCCGGACGGAGGGAGTATAAAATAAAAAGTATTGAATATATTATAATACTACGTATTAATTATCATTACAATTTTTAAAAGTTAGTATAAAGTCAGATTAAATTATTGTCTTAAATTTTAAATCAGTTCATAATTAATCAAATCAAATTCAATCAGATCAGATTCAATCAGATTAGTTCAAATCAGATCAGATCAGATCCAATCAGATCAGAACTGTAGAGAGACTTAGGGTGAAGCTTTTTTTTTTTTATCACTGCTGCTGTGCTTGCATTCATCTTCATCAACCGACACTATTGTACAATTCCATGAGTTATCGAAGGTTTGACTCTTCGTTCTCAGTTTTATTGCAATGAATTGGTGTAGAATTTGATTTTAATATTCGACTCAATGTATACGATTAGAGTTTTCGCTCGATTGATCTTTTTTCATACTTATTTGCGCTTGGTAACCGTTTATGTGAGCCTGAATTATGCGAAACGTTAAACAATTGAGTTGATATAACTGACATAATACTGTAGTTTTAGCGAAATAAAAATGGATTGATTGGATCAACGGAAAATCCATATAAGAAAGAAGATAGTGGTATCATGATTCTCTCCTGTTTGAAGAAACCAGTTTGTAAGAAGTGCTCCTGCACAATGGCTTTTGAGGTTGGAATTGACAGGCAGTGAGGGACTGAGGGTTATCTTAAATATATTTTCTTCAATTCTTATATTATCAGGCAATGTGCTTGCTGCAATGACTAATGTTTTATTAAAAAAGAAGTGATTTGAAAATAAGTTAGTCAAACAGATAACTAACCGTTTCCATTTTTGGCGCCGCCGGAGGCTCGTTTAGTTTTATTTATATTCAAATTTAATTCCTACCTTTTCTTGGATTTTGTTTATGCTTTGTGAGTCCGTGAGCTTTTCTTAGGACAAAGCCTTGGATTTTGGCCTGAGATGTTCCTGGGAGAGGAAGGAAAGAGATAGCCGATTCTTCTCTGCAATGTGGAGAAAGAAAAAAGAAATAGCCGCTAATCAGTTTTGATATCCAGAATAGAGAAGGGATATGGAGTAGCGGTTTTTTAGAGATATTTCATATCTCTAGATTTCGGATCTGATTTCTTTTTTTATCTCAGCAAACAATTTTTTTAAAATTGATATCCAAGATATGAAGGCCCATATCCATATTGCTCTCCAAACAAGTCCTAAGGTGTAGTAGACTTATTGCATCCCCAATCCTTGGAGAACTGTTGGCAAGTGTCAAGTTCTTAGTATAGGCCGCACAATCGACAAAGATAGTCGACTAAAAATGATCTCAAAACACTATCCTCCTTGACAAAGCAAATGACCCCTCATGGGTTGCGTGCATGCCTCAGTTGACCTCCTCTATCCTGAGGCGAGCTTGATCCTGATCTCTAGCCTTTAACAGGGAACCTGGAAAGAAACCCAGTGAAAAGCCCTTTTATCACCATAAATCAGGGTGCCTTTCATCCTTGTCCTACGACAAAACTCATTCCATCATATTCTTTATTTGTCTGGAGATTATATGGTATTCCATTACTTGAGATTCCATCTTTCAGGATATCAAACCAGAGTAGATCACACAAGACCTCCTTAGTGTTCATTGTTGAAGAGTGTGATGCTGATCTGCTCTGATTTGGTTTAGTCTTAGTCTTGTTGATTTTTAAACAGTAGTACACATTCATCATTGTAGTACGAGCATTCACAGCAGATGGAGTGAAAAATAAGGACAGATTACATTGGAAGGATTTAAACATAATTATCTTTTTATGCAACATGTTGCGGTTATATGTCATAATTTAAATATAGACATTGCAAGATCTTCATTCACCTTCTTGCATTGCTGACTTATCACACTATCAAAGCAATTGGAAAAATATCTATGTAACACCAAGAGTCAAGACATAATGATTATCCATCAATTGCACTAGCAAAACAAGTACACTTATGGTATCACTTGAATATAATTGGATTGTTAACAAAACCCCAACACGAATAATATAAATGTATACTCTGTATTTTTTAAAATATAAGAAAGACTCTGCTGCTGCATAGGTCACTGGCAACAAACACCAATGTCACAAAACTAGTCTGTTAGTAACCAATGATGGATAATCATTATGTCTTGACCTGTGCAAAGAAGTTGGTGTTTGTGACCTGTCACTGGCAACAAACACCAACTTCTTTGCACTGTCCAAGATGTAATTACCGACTCACAATTATTGACTCCCTTGCACCGTTCAAGATGCTCTCATTGACTCGCAATGACTGGCTCTTTGGAAACATCCAATCACCAACCCATGGCCAAGACCTAACGATGAACCGCGACTAGCTCAGTAGGGTCTTTACTCAGTTCGCAAATGAAGCACTTTTCTGTGTGTGCAGATCTGTGAGCCATAGATCTAGTTCATGAAGTCGCCACTGACTGTAAAACATGATTACTTATTGCTGAAAATTTTTCAACATGGAACTAGTATCTTGGGATTGAAATAGTTTTGGTGCTATTCCTGAACAATATAGACATGCTTTAGTGATATACCAAGCAATTATAATTTCTATAATCATATATTTTGGTAATCATGTCACATCGATAGCTTCATTCTTTTGATAGGCCAAAATGGAAAAATCTATTATTGAATTCACCATTAGGATGATTAGGTCTGTTTTTTGGTGAAGTAATGTGACCAATTTCTAACACCAACTAAAATTATTCATGATAGGTTTCCTTTATATGCAGGGATCATCGAGTCATACGATCTGCTCTTTTTGATAACTATGATAGTATTGAGGAAGGTGGTGTCAGGGCTTCACGTTCTTACTCACGTGACATTGATGAACATGATAATGATAAAGCTGTGGACAACTTACATGATAGAGTCAGCTTTTTAAAGAAGGTAAACTTCTGTTTTGAGGGATCTTTTTCTCCTTCTATTGGTGCTGTTGCTAGCATAGTTATCACGGCGTCGCCTAGGCGGTGACTTGGCATCAAGTCGAGTCCTCTTGGTCGCCATCTTCATTTGCCTCGCCAGATCTTCCCTTGGCGTTGCCCGACATATTTTAGCCGATGACTAGGCTTCTCGGCATTCTTCCTTCACACCAATGACGTTTGACTCAAGTCAACTTTTTTGTTTAGTCAATTTCATTAAAATAAAAAAAGGGGACTCCACATCCGAGACTCGAGTAAACTATTAGTGAATATAAACGAGTGAGGAGTGGCTAACCATATCTTATGTTTAATCGGCGGATCTTGTAACGTTTAATGGCCACCCTTGCTTGCAGCAACTCATTGACAAGAGATAGCAAACCTAGGAACTCAATCGGTCATTCTAATCGAAGCTAGCTGAGGGTAACTGATGGTTTATATCCTTTTTTTCTTTCGTTTTTTAGTATCAAATATTATGTACTTTATTTTTGCACATTTTTCCATTTCTTTCAAAGGTTATCTCATTATTCATACATCCCTTAGTCCTCACCTTTATTGTCTACCAACCTAAAAAAGATTGGTTAGTAATTTGTGGTTTAATAATGTTTTTAAATCTATTTTATTTTAATTATTTGTCAAAAGCAAATCTTTTTTTGTTAAGCTGTTTTTGTGATATGTTTTTTATTATACATCTTTTAATATGTTTTTGAACTTTGAAGTTTATGACTCCTTGTGCAATATATTACGCGATATATTTGTATTGATGTTAGTAATGTACTACAAATCTCAATTATGACTTGCCAGCTTGTCTCCTAGGCAGTGCCTAGTCAACAAGGCGTCCTGGCAGTGCACTAGCGCCGTGATAACTATGATTGTTAGGGTTTCCACTATTTTTAAGGTTCACACTCACTTTTTCTGCAGCATATGGCTCTAACCTCTACAAATTCAAGATTACTTACATGCATAAAACATGAAGGCCTTGTTTGGAAATAGCATTTTCGAATAGCGTTAGCGTTTTGGATAAAATTTTAATGATGTAGATTAATTCTGAAAATGCTAACGCTAAAGGCTATCGTCAGATAGCCTTTTCAAAATGCTAACGCTAACCTTCAACGTTGTTGCCAAACAGGGCCGTAGCCTGTTTTTCAATTTTTTTGTTTAAAAATTTCATTTATGACATGGTAATATCTGTACACCTGGTTTAATATGAACTTATTTAATACGGAGTAATTCATTTTTGACTACTTTTAAGGCATATGGGTCAAGACTCATATAATTGAGTTCAAGTCATCAAGAACAATGTCATTTTTGTTCATGGTCATACCATCTACTTCTAAGCTCTTTTTTTGGTCCATTAAAAATATGACATTTGGATGAAATTGCAAAGAAACACCTTTATGGCCGCTTTGCGTGTAGGGTTTTGGATGGAGTTGGAGGGGAATACACAGTTATGCACTTAAATCTTATCTTGATATATATATATATATATATATATATATATCTATGTATGTATGTATATATATATATATATATATATGTATATACTCCCTCCGTCCCCCAGTTTTTGTCCACTTTTGACTTTTGGAACTGTTCATCTAAGCACTTTGACTCATCAAATTCTCTCAATGTGTAAGCCTAAACATAGTCATGTGTGATCCATAGTTATTTAAGGCGTGATGCGCACCAATGCGCAAAGGGTTTCTAGCGCCTCGATGCGCGCGCATCACGAACACGATGCGCATATGTAGGCACAAATAGCATAGCATCTCTAAATAAGTAATAACACACATAGGATGTTGAAAAGCATATGAAAATTTTAGAAAACAATCAAAAATCAAATTCAAACAGTACCATATGCATATTAAAAAAACCAAAATGCAACTTATGAATCAAAATCAAATTCGAACATTACCATATTCAAACACCAATGAATAAAATACATCAATTTAATAAACAAATTGCAATTAACTAACTAATGAAATTGATAAAATACAAAAATTTAATCAATGAATAAAAAATTAATGAACAGATTGCAATTAAATAACTAATGAAATTGATAAATTACAGCTGTTTAATCAATGAATTAAAAAAAGAAATTATGCGTATTTCACAATAGTGACAGAGAGTAACTAAAAGAGAGGCAGAAGAGAGTTTTTCGAGTTGGAAGTCTATTTAATAAAAAAAGCAACTAAAAAAGAATAGACCAACTTGAGATAGCTTTGAGACTGAGAGTCTGCTGAGAGTGGAGTCTGTGGTAGTCAAATGAAGTTCCAGAGGCTTTTGCAACTTTCGAGGTGTAGGAGAAAAAAGTTTTGATGCGTTCTAGAGGTAAGCGTCAACCCTAATTCTTACGGGAAGACTACTTATAAAATACCTTATCAAAAAGTAATTAAAAAAGTTGTTCGTTCATGATGCGCGCATTATTGCGCCTCGCATCGCATAAGGCGCCTATGCGCGATATTGCGCGCGCCTCAAGAACGTCGCCCGCATTAAGGTCAGTGATGCACTAAGGGTTGCGCTTCGTGCGCATCGCGCCTCAGGCGCGCCTCGCGTGCGCATTTCACAACTATAGTGTGATCTTGTTTGATTTGTCTTAACATATAGATTATTAATATATAATTTCTATAATTTTTTAATATACAAATTACAAGATAAAATGGATTAAAGAAGTGCATTGGATGGTGTGTAAAAATGAAAGTGGACAAATATTCTGGGACGGAGGGAGTATATATATACAAAAAATTGCTGCCGGGTACCCTCGATTTTGTGATAAGAACTGCTAGGTCCCATTATTTTTCTAAATATACTCCGGGGTACCTTAAATTATCCGAAAAATTACTAGGGGGTGACAATCCGTTCATGCCTCCGTTAGTTTCTCTATCCGCTATCTTTTTCTTCTTCTTTCCTATTTCTTTCTTTCTTTTTTCTTCTCTCTTTCCCATTCCGATTAGAGACCAGCCCCCACCCACCCAAATCCATTCCCCCTTTTTTCTTCCTCTATTTTTTCTTTTCTTCTTCTGTTATTATTTTTATTATTATTATTATTACTATTAGTTATTATTATTTTATTATTAGTTATTGTATTATTTTATTATATTTTATAATAATTATGATTATTTATTTTTATCATTTTACTTAGTTATTAGTTTTACTACTCTAACTTTTTTAGCAAAATAAACTTAAAACCCCATTAAAAACAAATGTATGCCCCCATTGACCTTTCCCAATTTCCAATTTTCACTTGCATAAAAAAGGTTAAAATATTTTAAAGCTTTAATTAAAAATTACTTTTAGTAATATATTTATGTATATTTTATAAAAAAGATTATTTATTCCCTTGGTTATAAACTATACGTCTTAATTCATTTTATTAATATGAAATTTAACATCATTTTTATCGTTTTACATTATCTATAAAAAATTTCCAGAGGCATTTACCCGTCTTATTCTTACCCCAAGTCTTCTCATTTTCTAGATTACCCAGTATCAATGGCGGCTGCCGCTGACCACTACGTGACTAATGCGAAAGACAACATGGAATGACAAAAAACTAAAATAGTAAAAGTACTAGTAATTGTTTTTAATTATAATAGTAATAAGTTTTATTTTAAATAATAATTAGTGTTATTTTACTTAAAAAATAGTGTAACAAAACTACTAATTAAATTTTAATAATAATAATAAATTAAAAAAATAGAAGAAAAATAAAACAATAAGAAATAAATAATAATTAATACAAAGTAATACTAATAAGTATTTTTATTTTTATAAAAGAGTAAAGTAGTAAAATTACTAATTAATTGCTTTTAATAAATAATAGTATTAATAATAAGTGTTTTTTATAATAAGTGCTATTTCTCTAAATAAAAATTAATAGTAATAATAATAATAATAATAATAAAAGAAGAAGAAGAAAAGAATAAATAGAGGAAGAAAAAAATGGGGGAGGGATTTGGGTGGGGGGGGCTTGTCTCTAATGGGAATTGGAAAGAGAGAAAAAAAAAAGAAAGAGAAAGAAAGAAATAGGAAAGAAGAAGAAAAAGATAACGAATAGAGAAACTAACGGAGGCATGGACGGATTGTCACCCCCTAGTAATTTTTTGGATAATTTAAGGTACCTCGGAGTATATTTAGAAAAATAATAGGACCTGACAGTTCTTATCACAAAATCGAGGGTACCCGACAACAATTTTGTGTGTGTGTGTGTGTACCCGACAGTAATTTTGTTGATTCCTGTGAGAGTGGACCTTGTGGAGAGAAATGAGAATGGTGCATTTTTGTTTGCTAATGGTGCATTTTAAAAAGCATGTAGTTCGCCATGGTGCATTTTTCTACGCAGGTATTGCATTTTACAAAGTTTAATTAAATTACGAAACTGCCACCGCGTTTTTTTAAAATTTTTTCTTATTTTTGAAATTTTTATGGCCCTTAGATCTCACATTCTAAAGCACCAGATGCATTCTCATTTTTCTCCTAAGATCTCATTCTCACGAGAACCATATATATATATATATATATATATATATATATATATATATATATAAGATACGGTAAAATTGAAAGATTGGAGTAATGTGTGATTAATGATCATCCTCATATATATACCATTTCATCACCTTTTATTCGTTTAGAAACATTCTATTTATGTAGATATTGACTAAAGCCTCTAAAGTCTTCCTCTTCAAATCCCACCATTTGGACAGACACAATTTTGAATCCTAGTATTTCACATAGAATAGAATCAAAGTGGAGCTAAAAGAGTCATTTTTACAGTGTTTTAGCTTGGGTAAATAATGGACTAGATTAAAATAGCATATTAAAATTCCTTTTGCTTTTTATTTTCTATGAAGTTTTGGGAAGGAACTTAGAACATCAATACATCAAGGGACTAATGGAAAGAGCCTCTCTGTTTTAACAGGGTTAAGATTGCATACATCTTGACCTCCAGACACCAACGAAGTCGGGATTGTATTCAGTTTGTTATTTTGAGAGTATTACACACAAAGGATAAAAGATTTGTTTCTCAGTTTAGCACCGCGAAGCACTATAATCAAGTAAAAAAAGCATTCTAGAGTAATAATCTCTTAATAGCGTGTGATCATTTCATGTTTTAAATGCTGCTCTAAATGTTGAAAAGATGTGTAAAGAAAATTTGTACCAACTAATGGCGTGCGAGGTGGTTTTTTGGATTCCTATGTTGCAACCCATTACCTAGTTTGTGGTTCTTTTTCGGCAACAATCTTGACCTTAAATTTGCATATGTTCTTCCTTAGTTTTTCATCACCTTTTCTTCCCTACTATTTCATTTTTATACAGTATTCATTGCCACTACAATTTTACTCTTTAATAATGTGAAACCCCAATGGGAGCAACCATACTAATACGGGCATAGTATTATTTGAGTAGAAATGCTCCTAAATAGGAGTTCTCATGTAAGCAATGAAAGTGAAGTAGTCAATTTGCATTTCCCAGCTAGCACTGTTAGTCCACAACAGTTCCCAGTTGAGCTGTTAGTCCACAAAATTTATTAACTGTCCTTGTTAGTTCACATCAGTTTTCAGTTCTCCCTTCTCCCTGGTTTGTCATCGGCTCACTGGCAGTCCACAGCCAATTACCTCTTGAGACCAACAGACCTTTGTATTCTGGCATGAAGTCCCAAAATCTATTTTTAATCATAGGACACAAAATAATGATTTCAACAAGCATAATGATATGGTATGTCCAGCAATCCAAGTATGGCGTACATACACAAAGTTCTTTGTTTTGTTCTACTTCCTGCCCCTACATTCCCAACAATTTTTTTTATAACATCTCTTATCTTCTTATAGTCTAATCATAGGAGCTCTAATTTCATCATGCTATTTACTTAAGAGCTCTTGATGCCTCAAGTCCTGAAATATTTATTTACAGTTAACAGGTGACATACACGAGGAAGTGGAAAGTCATAATCGAATCCTAGACAAAATGGTATTTTGTCAACAAGTACTTTGGGGCATTGTATTACAAAGTGTTATCGAAGCCTTGACTTTACCTATCAATTTAAATTAGGGGAATGAGATGGATTCATCAAGAGGAATCATGTCAAGGACCATGGACCGCTTCAAGATTGTATGGAAACTAAAACTATTTTATTCATCTTCATATCGTAACAATTTTTGTAATTTCTGGTTTTGTATTTGACTTTGATATATGGATTTTTTTAGGTGTTTGATAAGAAAGCTCACCGGAAAACATGCAAGCTTGCTGGGTGGTTTGTGCTTTCCTTCTTATTGATATACTATGTTTTTAGGTAAGCATCTATATTTTGATCTATTGCCTTTAGTTATGGAATGTTGGCTCTCGGTGAAATCAGTTTCGTTCACAATGGTATCTTTAAGGGCACATGTAATTTTGTGCTTCTCTGGTATACCTGTTTCTTACTTCCTCGTTTTCATTTAAAATGTTGTGTAGGTGTAAAGATTTTAAATTACTTATGAGATCTCTATTTATTTCAAGGTGTACTATAAGCTTTATTGTGGTTTGATTGATTTCTTTTGCATACCGGTTGCTTACTACCTCCTCTTTAATTTGATTGATAGTATGAAATTAAAATTCCTTATGAGAAGATTTCCCATGGCTTGATTGGCACTTCAAATTTGGTGCTTTAGCCAAGAAGTGCGAATCTTAAATATATGTGGAGTTGGCTACATAAACCAAGATAAGATCAAACTCAGGACCTCTTGCCCTATAGGAGATCAGCATACCGCTAAGACCAACTGCCCAAATGCGGTGTTTTAAACTATCCTAAATAGTGGACTAAATGGCTGGTGCTGCGGCTCAACAAAATTTTCAACAAAAAAGGGTTGATGGATTCCTAATCCTTTAAATAGGTGTTGAGAACTGACTAAACTTTATTGGGTTTCTAGTTCGTACACATATCTTTGAAGCATGTTCTCCTTTCCAAACAACCATAGGTGTTATAACATAAGAGGCCGTAGAAGAGTGTGAACTGTTTTTTCTACTAGGTTCGATGGGATGCTTCGACTGGAGCAAGAATTCACAGAAAAAAGGAAGGCGAACCAGTCCATCTTTCTTCTTCCAAGAAATGATGCTGCACTAATGTTCCTAAATTCCATTATAGAATCTTTGAAAAAATAAATAAATATAGTGTCTTAACTAGAGAGCATAGTATATACAGCAACAATCAACATATTGTTTCATTTACTCAAAGCGATAAAAATAACTGAGGTTATTTTCTTTGCTTGCAGGTATCTCATGTATTTCATGCACATTTGAAAGTATTGGTAGCCAACCTGCTATATGTCTTGCTATATGTCTGAGTTCAAATGTGGCATATGAAGGTAGTAGGAGCACAACATGGCGCTCAGTTGGCCATTTCAACCACATGAGAAGTTTGGACATGCTATTTATACCCCGTATGATTTTTACCTCTTCTAAGATCATAAGATCATCTAAAAACTGAAATCTAAAAAATGCAGTGCAAACCCAAAATGCAGGAATTCATTTTTAACCCATTACTCTAAATTCCATCTCAAATCACAATATTTTTTCTTTTTTCAATTTGTTTTATTGGTCGAAAATATTAAAAAAATAAAAAGATAAATAAATGAATACATATAAAATAAAATAAAACTATGGTACAAAGCTACACAAAAAAAATGGAGCAGTGAATAGTCAAACACAAATTTGCGTTGGGAAGATGTGAGACAATAAAAACGCATAATGCGTTTGTCTTTGTGTGTGATTGCGGAAATCAAAGCTGCAAAAAATGGAAGACGGGGAACGATTTGAGTGTCTCTAAGCTGAGGACGGGAAATGCCTATTGCTGTCATGATTTTTATCTCAACTTAATTTGTATGCACCAATATTTTGTGTTAGCATGATGCTTTCTAATAACACAAAATCCCTGTGTAATTTTTTTTATTAAATTAATATTTTGTGCCAGTGTGAATTATTAAAATATTAATGTACCCTTCGGGTACAATTTGGGGTATACTTCTTGGTGTACTGCTAACATTGTCGGTAGTTTTTTTATACTTAGCACTCTATTGGCCTTGTATGGTGGTAAGAAGGCCGTCACAAGCTCTTTCCACTTATATTTTTGGTATAAAGAACTAAAATAAGAGTAAAATATACTCTGTAAAAAATATTAAAATAAAAGTTTCATTCTTTTTATCTTCAGATAAAAGTAAAATACCAATATATAGTGTAATTCACTATACATTGTCATAATGTCATAGTGCAAATTCTTAATTTGAGAATAAAAACATTCAACTTTTATTTTTAGGATAAATTTTATGTTTTATTCTTATTTTATTTGAGGTGATTTTTTTATATTCATAGAATTTTTATTTAACATGAGTTTGGTGGGATATTTTAAGCATTATCCTTTCGGAGTATAGGTAGGACTTTCGCTTTAACCTGGAAATATTCAAAACAGAATTTATTAGCTCTCTTATTTACGAACACAGCTAGTTTTCCAATGAATCATTTTAAATCACTCAATCCGACTTAAAACGATGGAGTTATCATTATTTTACCGAAGTTGTGTTTTGCTGAACGAAAATTCCAAACAGTCCTGTGCAACGATACACAAATGCTGTTGAATGGTAGTGCAGTACACGTATAATCCTATTACTCCGTATTAAATTCAATATATAGTTGTGAGAACAACTTTTATCAATCCTAATCACTCCACAATGATTCCTAGGGTTCCTAGGTCTGTTCCTTTGGTTAGAACGTCTTAATTTTTTTTTTTGAATTTCTTACAATTTCTACCAATTATTTTTATTATATCATGAAGTTGTTTAATTAGAATTTCTTTGTGAATGATAAATTAAGCATTTTACTCTTTGTCCCAGTATATTTGTTCAGTTTAACTTTTTTGAGTTTGAGCTTTAATTAAACAAAAGTTGTAATGTGTATTAATATAAAAATGTTTTTATTAGAAAACTTTCACAATTTTATTTTATTGTACTAATATACAATACAAATTGAGAGTAACAGAAGCTCAAAATTTGTCCAGTTTGACTCAAAAAGTCAAACTAGATAAATACATTGAGACAATGTAATATATTTTTTACATGAAAAATAATGTTTAATTTGTACTAGATATAGAAAAGTGTGTAAAGGTTAGACTTTATCCTACAATTATCTCAAATGTTGTATATTTAATTCACAAAAATTTAACTTTGTTCCAGAAATATAAATACGAGTAAGGTTCGGGCTTTTTCAAGCAATTCTTGGGAGTCAAGCCCATCTGTAAAATACTCTGGGGTATTATAGTGCTCGCATAGGTAGCTCAACTGGTCCTAGTAAAGGATGTCAAGCCCATTGATTTTAGCCTTGAATTCCAACAGCGACAGTGTGAGAGCTCTATTATTTATAATAGCTTCTTGTGTGCACCCACAGAGCAGTCTCTCTAAAGACCAGATTGAGATCATACCATGATTTACCCTCTCACAATCTTGTCGTGCCGAATTGGAAGGTTGATAGCTTTCAATACAACCTAGGGTTAGAAAGAAACACCGTAGTTGATAGAGAGTCTATCCAAGAGCAAATATAGTGTCCTATAGACCAGCCTAATAGATAATTGATATTTTAAATAAATAAATAAATACTACGGAGTATTATTTATTAAGACCACATTATTTTAAGTAATAAAATATAGATACTTTTATCTCTTTATGTTGATTTCAAAAGATAATTTATTTTAAATATAGAAGAATGTTTTCTATAACTGGCTTAGTGCCTTCTAGATATTTATTGATTAAAGGAGCACTCTGTTCAACTTATTTTTTCAGTTTATTATTCATTCTTATTAAAATTATATTAGATTAGATTAGACCAGATCAGATCAGATCTAATTAGATCAGAACAGATTAGATCATATCTAATCAGATCATATTAGATCAGACTAGATCAAATAAGGTCCAATCAAATCAAATCTAAACAAAATTAGTATTATTATTATTATTAATATTACTATTATTATGATTATAATTATTATTTCTATTGTTATTATTATGATTATTACTATTATTAATATTAATATTAATATTAATATTAATATTAATATTACAACTATTAGTAATATTGATATTATTATTATTATGATTGTAATTATTGTTACTATTGCTATTGGTACTATTTCTATTACTATTACTGCTACTACTATTATTATTTTTAATATTTCTATTATTATTATTATTATAGTTATTATTGTTATTATTATTATTATTACTATTACTATTACTATTATTATGATTATGATTACTATTACTATACTATACTTTTAATATTATTATTATTATTATTATTATTATTATTATTATTATTATTATTATTATTATTATTATTACTACTGCAACAATTATTATTAACATTTCTACTATAATTTCTATTATTATTTTTATTAGTATTATTATTATTTCTATTTTTATTTTTTCTATTAACATTAATATTTCTTTTATTAATTACTATTATTATAACTATTATATTAATAATTTAAATTTAAATTTAAATTTAAATTGAATGCATATCACACTAGATTAGATTATTCTAGATCAGATTCAATCAGATCAGATCAAAATAGAACATATCAGAACTTCAAAAAATCAAATCAGATTAGATGAAGTGCATAGATTGTGGTCTAAATGAATTAATATTAATTGAGACGAACCCAGAGGTTAGAAAATTATGTTTTGAGAAAAATATTTCGACGACATCATAAATGTAGTTTTGACGGTCTTTTTCCAAAAACACAATCACTTTTCAATTCGAATATGTTTAAGGGGAAAACGCGTGCTATTTAGATCAATTATTTAATGATAGAGTAACATGAGTTTTGTCACCCCATTTTTCCCACATGTTTCATACGCCACATGCAACCCTTGGTACTTCATTTTCTCCTTTAAATTAAAATATTCCTCCCCTTTCCCATTTTCCTTCATATTTTGTATCTCCAAGAACCATCTCACTCATCTCTTCCTCTCCCTCATAATCACCCTGATGGTGTAAACATAGATGGGTGGGTTGACCTAGACACACTCGACCCGTAATATAAAACACACAACAAGAACACAAAGTATGACCTAGACCGGGTAAATCTACTCAGTGCGAATTATATTTCTTACTCTGTCTCAAGAGTGTACTTTTTTAGTGAGACAAAGAATGGATCCCCTCCTCTATCCATAATCATCATATTTAAGAATGTGACCGGTCACTTTTTGAGGAAAGTGACCGGTCAACTTTTGACCCATCCCAATCAAAGAGTTGTCCTCATTTGGTGATTGAAGAAAGTGACCGGTCAACTTTTGACCTGTCCCTTTCAGAAATTCGGGCCGGGTATAAGGATATACTCATCAAGAAGTCCTCCACTTACCGGCCTTGTGAGGAAATCATCAAGGGCGGGAAATATATTTATGTTAACCTATCACTTTTGAAATCATCAAGTCATTCCCATGACCTGTCTTTCTTTGAAATCATCAAGTCATTCCCATGACATGTCCTTCTTTGAAATCATCAAGTCTTTCCCATGACCTGCCCTTCTTTGAAATCATCAAGCCATTCCCATGACATGTCCTTCTTTGAAATCATCAAGTCATTCTCATAACCTATCTTTCTTTGAAATCATCAAGTCATTCTCATAACCTATCTTTCTTTGAAATCATCAAGTCATTCTCATGACATGTCCTTCTTTGAAATCATCAAGTCTTTCCCATGACATGTCCTTCTTTGAAATCATCAAGTCATTCCCATGATCTATTCTTCTTTGAAATCATAAAGTCTTTCCCATGACCTGTCCTTCTTTGAAATCATCAAGTTATTCCCATGATCTATCCTTCTTTGAAATCATCAAGTCTTTCTCATAACCTGTCTTTCTTTGAAATCATCAAGTCATTCTCATGACATGTCCTTCTTTGAAATCATCAAGTCTTTCTCATAACCTGTCTTTCTTTGAAATCATCAAGTCATTCCCATGATCTGTCCTTCTTTGAAATCATCAAGTCTTTCCCATGACCTGTCCTTCTTTGAAATTATCAAGTCTTTCCCATGACCAAAAATGAGGTTTTTGGTATCATTTCTTTCTTCTAACCATGCACTTTGGGGCTCCTCAAACCTGACACTTTGTGGATCATCGCACGTATCACTTTGGAGTTCATCACACCTGGCGCTTTGGGGTTCATCAGACCTGGCACTTTGGAGTTCATCAGACCTGGCACTTTGGAGTTCATCAGACCTGGCGCTTTGGAGTTTATTAGACCTGACGTTCTTGAAATTATCAAGCCTTCCTCTCGGACCTTTCACTTTTGTAATCATCAAGTCTTCCTCTCGGACCTGTCACGTTTGGAATCACCAAGTCTTTCTCTCGGACTTGTCTCTTTTGAAATCATCAAGTCTTCCCCTCAGACCTATCACTTTTGAAATATTGGGAAATCCAAATGTAAACTCTAAATATTTAACCGGTCTTCTACCATGTAAGTCCTCCTAGAGTACCCGGTCAAGTGCCCGATGCACACCCCTCCAAAAGCACATCCGGAGTAAGGGGGTTAAGTCACCCGGTTATATGATGCAAATCTCATATGATAACTAGGTTACGTCGCCCTAGGTTCCGGTCCAGTTCCCTAACAAAGAGGTTGGCCGCTCTTCTTCCCAGGCCGTCCCTAGAGTGGAAGGGTTCACATAAGAGTTCTTGGGAGGGTTCTAGGAAAACGAAGGATGGCCCTCTTTAAATGGAAGGGTCACTAATTAAGGAGGCTTTCATGGTCCAGTCTCATTCCTTTGAAGTTGACTGGTTAGACTTGCATGGTTGTTTTCTTGCTTGATCTCCCTCTTAGGAATTATTTTAAGAATGTCCAAGTCATCTCATGTCCTGGTCTTGAAAACATCCAGGTCTAGTAAGCTTGGTTGAAACTTTTATTGGTTGAAACTTTTGAAGGATGTCCAGGTCTAGTAGGTCTTGGAAACGTCCTGGTCTAAACTTTTATTCGCATCAACTCCTTAAAACGTCGAGGGCACTTTGTGTAAGTCCTGAAAACGTCCGGGTCACCTCATGTCCTGGTCAAGTGTAAGTCTTGAAAACGTCGAAGTCATTTCATGTCCTGGTCAAATGCAAGTCTTGAAAACGTCCGGGTCATCTCATGTCCTGGTCAAGTGCAAGTCTTGAAAACATCTGGGTCATCTCATGTCCTGGTCAAGTGCAAGTCTTGAAAATGTTCGGGTCATCTCATGTCCTGGTCAAGTGCAAGTCTTGAAAACGTCCAGGTCATATCATGTCCTGGTCCAGTGCAAATCTTGAAAACGTTCGGGTCATCTCATGTCCTGGTCAAGTGCAAGTCTTGAAAACGTCCAGGTCCTTTCATGCCCTTAAGAAACATTTTAAGAACGTTCAGGTCATCTCATGTCCTGGTCTCCATACTTGAAAATATCCAGGTCACCTTGTGCTTAACTAGTCTTCTGATTCGGTAGGTTGAAATATAATAGACGTCTAGGTTGAATTTTGTCGTGGTTCAATCCCAATGGTTTGGTCATGTTACGTCACCAGTCATGCCTCAAATTTCTGTCCAGGTGCCGGGTCAAAATGTGACCGATCAAAAATAAGTTTTTCCAAACTTTTTTGATTTCATCAAATCCGAATATTAAAAGGTGACTGGTCACTTTTTTCAAAGTTTACCGGTCAATTTTAAAATTTTTCTATCTGCCTTTTCTTGTCAATTCAGAACGTTAAAAAAATGACCGATCACTTTTCGACCATGCCTTTTTTTCTTATATCCATCTGGCCTACATGTCATGTTCAACACCAACCTTGATCGAACTTCGAACGAATATTTCAAAATAGTTTTTACTTCAAGTCTCAACATCAAGACCTGACCCATCTTTAAAGGACAACTACACAAACCTGTACTGTTAGTAAACATTAGATAATAGAAATAATCAGTTGTGTGAAATACAACAAATATAGTTGTTTACATTTTACAAATACAACACAGAATAGTAGTAGTCTTATGCAAACATACTTAGTTTGAATACTTCAAGGACAACTACAACAAAGCGTAGTGTTATTGAGCACTATACAAGTGAAAGAAACGGTTGTTTAAAATACAACAAAATTAGTAGTCTACATTTTAGAAATATAACACAAGATAACAGTTGTCTGATGCTATTTTTGTTTAGTAGTCTTCTAAGCAGCTNTAACAGTTATATTCATTATAGATAGACAACAAAACATCACAGTTGTCTTTAACTCTAGAAAATAGATGTCTTACTAATACGAGGACAACTTCAAAAACATGTACTCTGAAACATCACAAAACAGGTGTCGTCAACCGTATTACACAATTGTTTTTAACAGTAGTCTGTAAATATATCAGACAGCTGCTCGGAAGACTACTGAAACTAGCACAATTAGACTACTAAAAAGAACAGTTGTCAACATCTGTTTTTGACGTAGTGTGTGATCGCGAATCCTCTCCAAGATCCAGCCTTCTTCTAGGCAACACTCTTCTTCCACGGCCCCTCTTCCAGGTTTTAAGTCTTTTAATGTGACATTTTCTAATTATTAGGTTGACCTACCCAACCTAATCTTCCCACATGGGGGTATGCCGGTGAGAACTAGCCCTCCTCCAATCCTGCACGTCCATATATTATGTGTTCGGAAATTCTAGTCTTCCCTAGACATTCCGATCCACAAAGGATGATTCATACAAGACGGCAATATTTTTTTTATTTTTTTTGGCATCTTTTCTAACCCTTCCCGACCAAAAAGTAGGTAGGGATCCATGCAAGTATGGATGCGAATCCTCTTCCGGATCTAGCCTGTCTCTAGGCGATACCTCAACATCAAGGCCCCTATCTCAAGGGTTTATTTTTTTGCTATCAGCCCATGCAACGGTCCAGGTCCTAGACATCAAGACTGATCCGTCTACAGCAAGCTTAGTAATTTTGACCACATCTTATCCACCCTCTCTTCTTTCCCTGATCATATTCATGTTGGTGGATTCAAGTACTCGCCTATGGGTCTTCCTCAAGCCCCGTAACGAATATTTCACCCAATTCACCTTTCAAGGTCATCTCTCTGAGCACGACCCTCACATTCTGGTAAGATTCAGATTGGTGGTACTTCTCTATCCAAGGCCGCTTAGGTTGTTCTCCTTTCTTCTCATCCCTTATTTGATGAGCAGACCCATCATATGTGGCCCTCGGCTTGGACCCTCCCATCTGGTCGTCCTTCTTTGATTTGTCGGCTTTTACCCTTGTATAGCCTTCCTCTAGTTCGCGCTTTCTTTTGTTTAAAACCTCCGCCTCGCCATACTTCCATGCCGTATTGTAGGCTTCCTGATAAGAGGAGGGTGGCCTCCTACAGAATTTAGTGTAGAGGTCACCCGACCGGAAGGCGTTCATCAGTAAAGACATGGCCTTATCATCCATCTCTTCTACTTTATCAACCTCATCCCTCCAGCGGGTTAGGAATTGAGTCAAGGACTCCTCTCTCTGCCCTACCGTATTGAGGTAGGTAAACTTCTTCCTCTTGATGCAATTGTCCTAGTATTTATTGCGGGAAATCTCAGCAAGTTTCTCAAAGGATCCAATCCTACCATGGGGAAGGCCGTTAAATCATTCCACTGGTCTCCCTCTCAAGGATGAAAAGAAGAGCAAGCACTCTTCAGCATCAGTGCACCCGGCCATCTGTGCTGCATTATGGAAGGTGTCAAGGTGGAGATTTGGATCCTCCTTTCCTGTGAATTTCTCCACGTCCAACTTGATCTTCCGCCTCAATTTGTGCGCATGCACCCTGGCCGAAAAGGGTGACTTCGCCTGGGTGTGGTTCTTTGCTCCTAACTTCTCTTCTACTTTTTCTTCCAAGGCGCGTAGCTTTCGTGCTACGCTCCCTATCTTGTCCAGGTCATCCTCATCGTATGAGAGCCTGGTATACGCCGACGCTCTGGGCTGGCTTTCTGCTTCCTCTTCATCTAGGTGAATCGTCTCAGATTCCCTAGAACGACGTGATTGGGCGGGACGACTCCCGCCAAGTCTTTCCATTGCGCTAGTCCGGCCCATCTAAGGGCCAAGACGTAGCTTGGCAGACTTGCGGGGTCCATCCTCTTTGTCCCCCAGGCATTTGAAAGCTGAATCTCGAGTCTTGCTAGGCTTAGCTATATCCTTACCCTTCTTTCTACGGGCTGCCTCTTGCTCCGCCTCGTCCACTTCATGGAAATTTGAGGGTGCTGCTTCGTTCATAGTCCTTGTCAAATTCACCGGGTGTATAGGGACCATCCTAGGGACGAACATCAACGGGGTCGACACCGGGGGTGCCATAGGACTCATGACTGGTGGCATCATGCCAGGATAGGCAAATGGCATGAAGCCCCCTGTCTGTTGCATCATGGCCATCACCTGTTGATAGCCCTGCAGAGTTTGAGCATTTGCCGGGTCAGCAACAAATTGACCCAAGCTTGACGGGTATGGAGTGAATGCCTCCACAGGCGTTATTATTGAGCCTGGGAACATTGTCATCGTTGGCGTAGGAGTAGGGGTCGACATGATTGGGATCATGCCAATTGACCCTACCGTGGTGATCGGGGTAAAGGTCGTCCCCATCCTCGTCATTATCAGTGGGATGGCATGAGTGCTTTCACTCGCAGCGTGGCTTGAAACAATGTTGTGGTTACTTGAAGACATGATTGGGGATATTTAGTGGGGGTAAAGTTTTGACCGGGTCGGAAAAACTTTAAAAATCGGCCCTACGGTGGGCGCCAAAAATGATGGTGTAAATATAGATGGGTGGGTTGACCTAGACACACTTGACCCGTAATATAAAACACACAACAAGAACACAAAGTATGACCTAGATCGGGTAAATCTCCTCAGTTCAAATTATATTTCTTACTCTGTCTCAAGAGTGTACTTTTTTAGTGAGATAAAGAATGGATCCCCTCCCCTATTCATAATCATCATATTTATAGAGGAGGATTTGTGACCTTCCCCTGTTCATCCATGGACAAAATAGGAAGCCCGTGGGAAGGTCACTGTAGTTAATGGAAGCACTGTACAATCATTGATTTCAATAGCTACAAGCCAACACACTGTTCAATCAAAGACTATAAAATGGATATTCTCAATCCAATCAACCCTGCAAGATGACAAATATCTCTTTCACTGTTGTGCCTTGTGACGGATTGGGCGATGGGGTGGACCCCCAATCTTTGGTGTGGTTCGCCATGCTTTAGACTAGACCAATGTTAGCCAAGTAAAGTGATATGACCGATCACCTTTTCTCAAAGGTTACCTGGTCATTTCTTGAGTTCAACCCATCTCTTTGGTCTTCTAAAATATCCTTCGTAACATTAGGTGACATTTTGGCTATCCCCCAAAATGTGACCGGTCACTTTTTGAGGAAAGTGACCGGTCAACTTTTGACCCATCCCAATCAAAGAGTTGTCCTCATTTGGTGATTGAAGAAAGTGGCCGGTCAACTTTTGACCTGTCCCTTTCGGAAATTCGGGCCGGGTATAAGGATATACCCATCACACCCAAACTCTCCATCTCTCTATCATCTACCTAGAGCACATGGACATCATCATATCGGAAGGCTTGCCAAAAGGAGGAGCGTCGCCGGAGAGGGAAGGAGGAGAAGGTGGTGCTGATTTTGACAGCAAAATCCCTTCAGTCCACTTTGTGCAAGAATTTGACACTGTTACAATAGTTATTTAGTCACGGTTTCTTCATAAAAGTTGTAGTCACGGTTTGTTGAAGCTAATTTAGCTCCATGTTTTAGTTAAATGATTCTCGAATTCATACGTGATTTTTTTGTGACTTGTGTTTTGTAAAATTTTAAGGTAAATGAACTTCTTAGCCCCATAAGTTGAACGTTTTCCTTAAGATTCATTATAGAGTGATTGTTTATGTCTTGGTGTTCTTGTTTGTTATTTTCATAAAAATTGGGATTGTTTAAGCGCAATAAACAACTCTCGATTTAATGAAAATATGCAATGTTTTCTTATGTGAATCGATTACAATTCTTATGCTTGAGTTGTTCAAGGAGACCTGCAAAATATTTTCATCATTAGATGTTAAAGTTTATTAAAGTGTATCAAATGTTCTTCATGAATAATTTGTGCATGGGAGTTAGAATGAAAGAAAGATTCGCTCTTTTATAAACTTTTTCATCTTTTGGAATCATTGTTTGAGCGCTTGAGGTGGGTGGGGGTTCAAAGTGATCCAAAAGGCCTTTGAATTCTTGACTCCGGGCCTTATAGAGAGTTGACGATCCTCTGTATGTGGTCAAGGATATGAATCAACTCGAGCCTTTGAATTTTTTTCTATTTTTAAGTGCGTAAGTTACGTAATATATTGTCTAAGTGCCTATTATACGTGTAATGTTCATTTTGTGTTCGTTCTCTTTTTAATTTTGTTTCGGGTTTTTGGCGGTGTTTCTTGGGTTACCTAAGTTGGAAAAGTTGATTATCTTTTGAGCTTGTTTTCCCCCATTTTATCAAAAAAACCAAAAAAAATAAAAAACCAAAAAAAAATTTACTTTTCATCGAACAACCCCCCCCCCTTTGTTTAGTGTTTTAAATTATATTATAAGTTCTTTGTTTATATAAGTTATATTTATAAGTTTTTATATTTATTTAGTTATAAGTTTTATTATAAGTTTTATAAGTGTTCTAATATGTGTAGTAGTTAGTTTTTTTTTGTTTAGTGACAATGTGTGTGCATGCTAATTTGATATCAAAAGTACTAACTTTCTCCGTGGGATCGACCTCTACTTGCCCTAACTATAGTTTTTATTTGATTATATCTTGGGGGTTAGTTAAGGTTATTTATAAATTTTTAATTTGTTTTGGACCCTACGACAAGTCTTCAACAGAAACCTCTGCAACCTATTTGGGAGAAAAATCCTAACTCAAGAAGCTATTTGAAAGTTAGAAGGTTGATAGCCTTCACATCCGTTCGTTGACCATTCGTTGATTCGTTTGGTTCTTTCCAGCGTTGAACTTGTCATATCATATTCAAGGTATGTAACGCCCCGAAAATAGGTCTATCGGAATTAATTTGTTGATAATTAATTAATTGCTTAGAATGACCCAAAAATAAGTGATTTATAAAGTTTGTCAATAAGGAGGTTGAGGAGGCATGAAGGCAACAGATTTAGTGAAAGGACCTATTGCATCCATTCACTTAGGAAGAAGGAGGTGAAGGTGCCCAAAAAGGCCCGTCCTTCTCCCTCTGGATGGACGGATCCACCTCTCCCTCCATATCGTAATCCCCCCACTCCTCCGACTAATTCTTGAATGTTTGTTGAGGAGTGGGAGAGTCTTGGGAGGGGGGCCTTGCTCCGAGACAAGACGAGTGGCATTTGCGTCAGGATTGCGCCTCTTCTGGGACCGAAAAATGCCACGGCAATCAGAGGAAGCCTCCGCGATAGCACCTTCATGGGGCTAGTCAGGATTGAAGAACACAACCCCTGGAGTGTGTTGAGGAGGGCAATGGCGATTCTCAGGTTCAAGTGTATTCACATCCACCAATTTCTTAGAAGTAACAGAAGGTTCAGAAGAAGAAGAAGATCTTGACAAGGAAGACTCAGTAGATAAAGAGTTAGAAATAGTGAGATCGGTAAAGATGGACTTCTTGGTACCATCAGACACTATGAAAAATGATAAGGATGGAAGATGATGAAACTGGCATGCCTAGGGTCCCTTTATATAGGGGAAAATCTCTTTGGAGTATGCGAAAGAGGCAGAGAAGTCAAAGCGAGATATGTGATTGGCGAGAGAGTTGGTTGCGGATGAAAGGTAACGTGCTAGGGTGCGTAACGGAAATACAAAATTTTATATATCCTAACACGATTACCATCCCAATAACTCGTACGAAAACTATAGTAAAAGATAGAAGGTTATACCTAGAGCAAGGAGAGACTTTGAAAGCACGAACGAAGTCGAGCAAACGACCGTCCTCTAACTTCGACACATGGACAAACTCCAGAGTCTACCTTAACCAATATGCTAGTACTGGCTAAAGTAGTATAACATATAAAGATTATATTATTGGGATAATATAAAATATATATTAAACTTTGTAGAAAATATATATTTATCGATATAATATTTCTACACCTTAAAATTGCCTTAGAACACAATGAGAACTTTCTCCCTTTCTCTCATTTGTTTGGCCGAACACCCACATTCAAAATGGAAAGAGATTCTTATTTTTATTCCATAATGCTCTCTTGTGCATGTGATCCTTCTACTCACCAATATGGACAAAGTACACTTTGTAAGTGTAACTTACACACACACACACCCCACACAACTCACATGTTTAATTCGAAAATATGGAGGGAGTATTTGAAATTTTACTCTTTCAAATGTTTAAAGTGTATTTTATTTTGACATCAAAATTTCTCAAAATAAAATACTAATAATATTATAAAGTAAAAAGTACACTTTAAAAATATTATTCTGTCAAAATAATTATTTTCATAATTAAAGTGACACTTTAAAATATTTGTGTCCAAATTTCATATACCTCATGCTCAAATAGTTGTACTTATATTTTGAGACAAAATTGTCCTCTCCGTTAAAACTCCGTCCATTTTAGAAGTAAAGGTAGATAGTGGTAGGTTTGGAACATTTTGGCTTCTCATACTCCACTCGTATGTACAGAGTACCATGGAGCAAATTGCAAGAAGAATAAAACTGAAGATGGACCGGGTGATCAGCACAGATTCAAGCCACAAGAACTCGAGGTCCAGGGAACAACCTGTTCTGACCAGACCTCCATGCCGCTGGATCCGCTCTCTCCATCCATGTTCCCAATCATTGCCACAGTCCGATTCTAATGAGGTCACCACCAGCACGTTTTTTATTTGGGGTATTTCCAAATCCCTAATTTATTTGATTCTCTTTTATGAATTCTAATCCAGCTTTAAAGGGGTTTTAAATAAAACTGATTAATTAGACATTTGGTTTTTGATTTGCATGATATTTGATTTTTTAATAGATGATAATGTTCTACACTTATAAATTATTGTTAGAGTTTGTCAATTTGGGATTCATGATATACGGAGTATTGTGTTGCCTAAAAAGTTTAAGAAAAAATCAGATAGAGATTTGTGAGTTCCCTATTTGTGTTTCATTAGCAAAGAATCTCTCCCACCTGAATTTTTTATTTTCATGCGGCTCCCCAAAACTGTTGAATTAAAGAAAGATAATGATTTCACATATGAAAATAAAACTGGAAGGATGTAAATGTTCGGTTGGGTTTCTTCAAGCCAATCATAATTTAGGATCCAATGAGAATAAATGAATAAACAATATTGATTTCTGGAAATTTATGATACCTGCATTCTGTGAACTGAAGGGTGAATTCAATGCTTTATGAGTATGTGGATTCTAGAAAAGCCCTAAGAGAGTCTCAAATGGCATATTGCTGAGGGTGTGTTCATTTTCTCCCAAATGGCATATTGCTATGAACATGAAATGGCAAGGAGACACATTCCTAACACACTTCATCCTATTGTTCTATGTTGTTCAACGTCCCAAAGGATCAATTTCTGGTCCGTCTCTGTTTTTTTGTGTTCATATACGGAGTAATTTATCTTCAAATTGCAAGTCGACATCATCATTAATTTTGTTTTTTTGTTTACATAAATACAATGAAGAACTAATGGTGCTGCAAAATTTAATTCTGCTCTAGGTTGTTAATGGTCTCAAAGTTTTAATTTTTCCCTCATGGTTTGCCGACTTACTATTTTAATTACTTTGGTTGTATAACTAACACCTCACTCTTATTATTTTCATTTGTTTTTTTATTTTCCACAGGAAATTATGTCCTTATATTCAATATGCTATTCATTGTGGCAATTTGCCAAGTGTGTAAGCTTTACATTAAAATGTTTTATTTCATGTTTGCTAAGCTATTTCAAAGTGTTATTTGGACTTTATTTGGGATGCATATTAAACTCGAGTCATTGCATTCTACTTTTGTCTATGCTTTTAATCTAAAACATTGTGTTTTATTTTATAGATTCTCTAAAGAAAATTTTTAGTTTTAGAATTTATAAATCTATTCATAGCAGTTTATTAAGAATTTTCGAGCTTGTGCGAAGCATAGGGTAAAATTCTTCATAGCAGTTTGTTTGTTAATCATTAATGTACTTTGCTTGATAATATTTTTGCATCGTCATACCTTATTCTTTTTAAAAAAAGTTCATTTAGTTAAGAAGTTTACCAGTATGAGTTAAATATCTTTTTTTATTCTGATACTTTTTTTTGGTATTGATAACTTTGATTTTGATTCTTTCAAGTCTTTGAAATAGAATGGCATGAAGATGGACCCTATACATAATGTGTATCCTTCGTGTATCCAGTCCCTAAATGTTCCTGTTGGAATCTACCCTTGAATTAAACCACAATCAATAAATTGATGTCTTTTTTTAATTTCACATTCCACTACCATTCAACTATTGATGCCTTTTTTTTAAGTACACCACAGCCATAGATTTATTTAGAATTATAAATAAAACATATATTACATTTATAGATAATTTATTTTAATTAGATCATTTTTCATATTATAAAAGTCCATTATAAGGAGTGCCATTATAGATGGATTTTTCGCTTACGGTCAGAGTTAGTCTCTTTTTTATATTGATTCTTTTGAAATAGAAGCTAATTTTGGCATATTAAGCTATATAGAAGGGTATAGTCTTTGTTTTATATTTTGAAATGTCTTCCAATGTTTTTTCCAAATTATATAATAACTTATAAGAAATTCTTAAGTGAAACCACAATTAAATTTGAGGGATAAAATAAATTTCACTATACAATATAAAATAATAGAGGGTTTTTAGTTCTAGTTCTAATTGTGTTACTTTTCTGTTAAGAAATTGAGTACGCTCGTTCAGGTTTCATGCCATTTTTGCCCATACACCGTTGGATCTCTATCACCAGTTTTCATCATGACCCTAATATGGTAGGAGTCTGGAGTTTCATATTCCACAAAAGTAGTTCGCCGTATCATTGTGATAGAACAGAAGCACCTTTGGAATTCTCTATTTTGCAGCTGAGTAGCTTTAATCTCAGGTTAGATTCTTCCCCTCTTTTGGTTCTTAAGGCCGAGTTAGTAATTTTATCAGTTTCGCATATAATAATTCTCAATTCCCAAATTTTATTAAGCTCTACGATGTTTGAATTTTTAAAAGCTGTCTATTTGCCTTTATTTTATAAAAATAATTTATTTTCAAGCACCCACAAATATAACGTTAACTTAAAGTGAGAATTTTTTTTTTAAAACTGTTGGGACATACAAAGTACAATTTCAAATGATGTACTTGTTACTTGTTTAGATGATTAACTCATGTTTTACATATTTTCTACTCCGTATGTGGTATGATAAGAAGTGGACAAACTTGATTTTGCATTTGTTTGATATACCATGGATTCTTGTATTTGTTTGATATGCCATGGATTCAAAGTCATTGTGAGTAACAAAGAGCATGGAATATATACTTTTTTTAGACACTATCATGACACATGTATCTGATAACCATAAAACTTTGCTACACCGCTTTCCTTATTTCACATTTTAAAACTCCAAAGCAGTGAAAGCCTTATTAATTATTTCCAATGCTAAATATATCCAAAGAATGACTCAGATTGTGGAGGAAATCACATGGCTTGTGGAGCTCACGACTCAAAATGCAATAAGAACGACAGACCGAGACCTAAAATGATACAAAATGACATTTACAACTGTAGAACCGGGTTGCCATAGATATGTCAAGTATCTGTTTACCGATACTTAGGCCATCTATGCTCATTCGAATATGGTTAATTCATATGTTATTTTAAACACAAAGTAGTTCCCTTCAGTTTTAACCCCCCCCCCAAATGGCTATTTATCTTACAACAATATGTTTTCTATAAATGGAAATGTTAATTATACAATGAGTGCAAACAAACTTTATGATACCACACTCTAATCATAGGTTATAGAGAGGATAACCTATACCACCAAAACTTATTTGCGTATACTCATTGGCTAAAACTTTCTGCCCATTCACTTTACAAATTATTTACAATTAAACTCCTTTGTTTGAAGAAATTAATGTATTTAAAAGCCATTTTTAAGAGGTAGGGACTAATTACATATAAATTGCCTTCATTTCCCTGAAATCTCATGAGAAAAAAAGGGCTATGAGAAAAAAGGGATGTTTATGTGATCCCTTTTTTTCATGGTTTAGGGTTTTGTAAAATATTCTCATAGTAAATTTATTTATTAAATCAATACTATGTGGCCATTTAATTGGTTTCTAATTTTGTTCTAATGCAATCCCTGAAACTTCCCTGTACTGAAGCCAAACATTGAAGCTTAAAGACTTAAGTTGGTGGGTTCAAATTACTAATTACGTGTCATTTATTAACACTAAAGAACTCCAAACTTCCATTATGAAACCAAAAACATTGACAAAAGTCCGGTTGAATCAACTCCCAAGACCCTGGCTACACACCAACACTCTGAGTCAAGGATCGAGCCATCATATTCAATGAGCAACAAATAAATGAGATAGATATAAAATCAAAGGATGCCATCATAATCAAACAATCGGCACTGTGCCATGTATTTAGTTTGACCATTTAGTCTTTTAATTAGTTGAAAAAAGATTCCATGCACACATTTATCTTAGTCTTTGAAGTCGTCAAAAAGATCTCCCAAGCATCCTTTTTCCCTTAATGTCCACTAAATCTTGCCGTCATTTATGTTGTATTGGTTTTCATGGTTTTCTATTTTTGAGTGCTCTCTGCACTGTTTTGGGAGGACTTAGGCTTGTAATTTTCTCCTTATATTTTACAAGTATAATGGTTAAAATTGAAACAATAACCCACCACTGAACAAACAACATCATTATACCATAAAAATTATTGCACTTAGCTTGTAATTTTCTTGTCACCTATTGTTGTACCCTAGGCATCATCCATCTTCGTCATTTTTTCTTCAAATTTTGGGTCCTCTTTACCCTATGACTTCTGATATATTCCCATCCCATATTTGCATTTATTATTACTCCTACTTCTCACACTTAATGATTATATCCTCATCAATGAGTTATGAGTTTTTTACCCTTTTCATTATCATCAATATTTGTGTCCACATAAAATAATGTGTAGGTGCACTCCAAAAAAATGATCTCGAGTTGTGTATTGTTTGCTTAAAGGTTTGGTTTCTATTGTTAATATTTCAACAGTATTGTTCTGTGTCCTATTTCAATTCTTTTTATGGAAACACATATTTGGTTTGCCTTATGTGCACTCTTAGAGGATAGTACTAGCTCTCCTTCCATTTTGTGTTTGCAATAGCAGGATTTTTTTCCCCTTATTAATTTTCACTTTATAGAAGTGTATACATTGCAAAAAAAATATAAAATAAAATATCTTAAAAACATGATACTTCTAAACTTTTGAGGAAAAGCTATGTACTTGTATGCATTATAACCAATATCATAATGTTCACTAGAAAAACATCGTGTTTATCAATTAGCAAACCTTCTCAACTGCAATGATTTTCTATTTCAAGAGTTTTGCTCTTCTTCATCTCATTACTAATAATTAGATATGCTCTATAAAATAGATCCTATTTTTTGCATATATTAATTAATATTATTATACTCGGGAGTAACTATATTTTATTCATAAAATTGTTTAAAGACATACTACGAATTGATACTTTGTATGTTCTAACCACAAAACACTTCTAGAATACAAAACACATCACATACCCACACATAACTAAACTAAATGAATCTCAAAGTTTGAAAATTACTAAACCAAAACCATACACTTCATTCATTGAATGGATTACGTCTTATTTGTAATATGTAATGCCATAGTGATATTTTGCTTACATGTATGTATGTATGTATGTATGTATGTATGTATGTATGTTTGTATGTTTGTATGTTTGTATGTATGTATGTATGTATGTATGTACATATGTACGTATGTATGTACGTATGTACGTATGTATGTATGCATGCATGCAGTGCAGTCCAAATTGTGGTTGTGGACCAAGTTTTGTCAACCAAACTTCTCAAAGCAGGCTTAAGTTTCAATTTGAGGTATTTCGTACTCCTAACAAAGAATGTGTCTAAGGTCATAAGATTATCTATTTGTGAGCACATCGATAAACTCATGAAGATAGATCAAGTAGATTTCAAAACTGATACAAGTTATGTGTTTGACATTTATTAAATCCAAACCATAAAAATTTAGGATGGAAGAGAGAGGTGGTTGAGAGAGGTCACGTTGCTTGACCATCTATACAATGACAATGAAAAAACTTCAACACCTGTTTTGCATCAATAGTTTTTCTTGTGGTAATGTGTTATGGTTCATCAATCACAGTTGCAAGCCTAATCTCTGTGTACAATGTGTATTACACAACCACCACGACATCAATCTTGCGCAAATACTTGTGCCTGTTGATAACATTTCTTCACATTCCTCCACTACAAGAGCTTTTGTATGATTATGATTATGACCTGAACAACATCATAGGAGCGGATGGACAGATAAAAAAGTTTGGCTATTATTGTGGCGTAGCAGCATGCCAAAAGTGCGTATATTATAGTCAACATTTGTCTTAGTTTAATAAACTCGATTATTGACTGTAATATTTTTGTTCAAACTGCACTACAAGGCATGTTGTTTTTGTATTGGCCTTTCTAAACTCTTAGTTTATGTAGTTTTAAAAGAAAAGGCAAAATGAGAGGTTAAAGGGTCATATATGTATCTATGACATTGTGTAGTCTTTTTCCTCTCTCTTGCCTCTATTATTTTTAAAATAGGGTATACACATTTAGATGATGTGATGAAGCGAAATGGAAAAATACTTGATCACACCATTTGTTTTCCCTTTTCGCTTGATCACACTATCCAAATGTATGTACTTCCTTCGTCCCAGTGTATTTGTCTAGTTTGACTTTTTTGAGTCAAACTGGACAAACTTTGAGCTTCAATTAAATAAAAATCGTAATGTATTTTAACATAAAAATGACTTTATTGAATTTATCGTATTGAGAACTTTCAAAATTGTATTTCATTATGCTAATGTGTAATATAAATAGAGAGTAATTAGAGTCCAAAATTTATCCGGTTTGACTCAAAAAAGTCAAACTTGACAAATACACTAGGACGGAGATAGTACTTATTTTAAAATATACTACCTCCGTCCCAGAGTATTTGTCCACTTTCATTTTTACACACCATCCAATACACTTCTTTAATCCATTTTATCTTGTAATTTGTATATTAAAAAATTATAGAAATTATATATTAATAATCTATATGTTAAGACGAATCAAACAAGATCACACATGACTATATTTAGGCTTACACATTGAGAGAATTTGATGAGTCAAAATGCTTAGATGAACAGTTCCAAAAGTCAAAACTGGACGAATACTCCGGGACGGAGGGAGTAGATAGATAGGGAAAAAAACAATATAATCTGTCATAGATATATAACTTGTAAGACTGCATAAACTAAGAGTCTATAATGCCTTTTGATATGTTCATCCGCGTCTCTGATGTTCAGTTCATAACCATAATCATACGAAAGCTCGTGTACTGGATAAATGTTATTGGCAACCACAAATATCACTTGCACAAGTTTGATGTCACGGTTGTTGCGTAACACACTGTACAAAGAGATTAAGTGAGCAATTGTGATTGATGAATTTATACACATTATCACAAGAGAAAGTCTCGTTGCAAAACTCAGGTGTTGGAGTCTTTTAACTCTCTTTGTCCACATGGTGAGGTAATGTGAGTACGTGACCTCTCTCAACTGCCTTTCTCTTCCATTCAAACCTTTAATGGTTTAGATTCAATCAATATCAAACACATAACTTGTATCAGTTTCGGGATGTACTTGTTCAATCTTCATGAGTTTGTGTACTCACAAATAGTTTGAGATGTTTCAAAACGGAATAGAACCAAGACTTGTACCAACACCTAATAAAAATCATGAAAAAGTGATTTCATTTTTCATTTCAACCTATTGCTCCACAATCTCGACATATACTATGGTATTTGTCCACAATCTTGTTGAAGAATTTACGGTTACAACGATGAGTTGACTGACGGACCCGGAGTCGGTAGCTTCCCTGTTATACTTTTTACGTCGGACCAATGTGAACTCTTCCTCATATTTGTATTCTTCATAGTCATAGTAAGGTGCAGGATGGGCTTCCGTCACCTCAATCACTTGCTGGGTTGTAGTAGAATTGTGGGAAGAGGCCCATTTGTGGTGATTTCCTCGTTTGCACTAACTCGCAAAACAGTTTGGATGGAGAGATGATCATTAGCCTCTGTCTCATCGGAATTTGATGTTGCACTAGCCTCGTATGCAATATCAGACTTGGGTTTTTCGTTTGTGGAGTGTGATGGAGTCACAATCCTTAAGGCCATCGAGGAATTGGCAACAGTTTTACCCTTAGTTCAATTCACCATTTCCATATCAGTGGGAGTTCTGGAGCCATTTCCATATCAGTGGGAGTTCCGGAGCCATTGCAGTCCATTATCTCAACACATCATTCATCTCGGTGATGAACAGTAACCCATGAACCTTAATACTGACTTCCTTTGGGGAGTTTTTGGAGACTGAGTTCATTACAGATTTACAGGTGAGACCAAATGGTTAGCCTTTTGAACTTACGAGGGCAACCTTTTTGAATATTGGCCACATGAGAATTCAAGGCGGGGATCTCAATAGAGTCATTCTGTTTCTCATCTGCATTTGTCACCACCTTCGTTTTAGTGGTTTCATTTGCTGCATAGGCTGGTGGAGCCCCGTCTGGAGGGACACTCAAGGCAACCAAAGGAGTAGCTGCCTTTTCCTCCTAAGCCAAACCCTCAGATTTGGCAAACTTAGAAGGCTCTGCGTGCAAGGGAACAACTGGGTTGTCCTAAAGAGTTGTTTCCACAGGCTTCTTGGGCTTTTCAGCAGGCCCCAATGCGCCCAAAGCCATGTGACCCTGATTTACCAAGACATCTTCCAAGTGCAATACTCCAGCAGTTTGGTTTGACAGTGAGGGGTCATTAACACTTGTCCTTGCAGCACATGGGATTGCAGGAACTTTGTCTAGGTATTCAAGTGTCGGGTAGCAATAGGAGGCTGGACAGGAATGTGGTTTGTCTCCTTTCCGCTGGATTGTTTGGGCACCGAAGAAACCTTCTCCCTCTACATCAAGGGATTCGACCCAATCGCCATGGAGATAGCTTGACCTGGGGAAAATATAATGACTGGACGCAATAGAGGTCTCAAATGCTGCAGACGGCACTCAAAACTAAGTCTTCCAGATCCGAAGCAAGAGATAGATCCGGGGGGGGGGCTCATCACGGTTGGTTTCAGAGGTTGATGAATGATAATGCGGGCCTAGGTCCTAGGAGGTCCCAAAGGAATCCAAACCCAGGGTTGCTGCAGTGAGGCAATGTTGCCTTTCGACACTGCGTGGTGACACAAAAGGCGGCAGAGGCCTGAGCTTCCAGGGACGTGAGATAGTGCGGGGATGCTTGCAAGAGACCCAGGGCATTGTTGCTGGGGCTTAAGGAACAGATGCAGCACAGGTTAATTCCAAGTTTGAGTTTTTTCAAACATTTAAAAATTGTGTCTGTCTTATTATTACATTGCTTATGTATGATAATTTCTTTCTTGAGGTGAAGGTTAAAGATGGGGTGAAAGAGAAGAAGATGATGAAGACAGTCTAAATAATGGTAATCTTATTTATTTATTTATTTATTTATTTATTTATTTATTTATTTATTTATTTATTATTTATTTATTTATTTATTTATTTATTTATTTATCCAATTGAGTTAGTACTGAAGTATCGGGAGTAGAGGCAAATGTTATCTAACTCTTTTATCTATAATAAAAAAATGCCTTTGTAATTTGCTTGCTTTAATCTCTCGGTGTTTAATATTCGCATTCTTTGAGCAAGAGTACACCAACATGGGGTACCCCATTTGTACACCAAGCTAACACAGACACACACATATGTCTGTGCAGGCATAGACATTATGTGTCTCTGTGTGTGAGTCTCTCTATTAGCTTGGTGTACAATTTGGGTACCCATGTTGGTGTACCCCTAGGTTAATTCTTAATCAAAACCAGCAACAATTTCTACATCATGTGTTTTTGATGGGTTCTTTTTTCTCCGATCATTCCCGGTATGTATTGATAAGTTTCATTGTCATTTAAATGGTTTTCCTTAAGGTAGTGTTTGGATTGGGTATTTCATTTCAAATTTTGAATTTCAATTCTATAATTTGAAATTCCATAATTCAAATTCCATTTTAGTGTTTGGCAAACACAAGAAATTCAAAATTCATAATTTCAAATCCAAATGCTGTTTGGGAAATTCATAATTTCAATTCTAGAATTCAAATTCTGATGTAGTTTGGCAAGTACTAGAATTTCATTTCAAATCTTTAATGAATAAAATATTGTAAACATAATCTCAAATAACATAATGACCAATTGTTTCATAAACAAAATACATACTAATGTATGACAATTAGAAAAAGTATTAATTTGTAGCAAATATTTAATATTGCGTAGTTGTTCATAACTCAATCACTCTTCCAAGCACAACAATATCCAATCTAGCTTCTCATCTTCACCGTTCAGGAACTCGTAAACTTTGAGTTACAAGGTGATACTGGCTATGTGGGTTAACTCTGGAATCAAATAGTCGATGTCGAACCATTCGAACACCGAAGGTTAGAGGTAGCGGGAACAACGAGAGAAACTAAACCAGCATATTGTGGCTTTACTCATAGTGTAGGTAAACAGGTAAGGTTCACTCTGTTGAGGAAAAGTTGCCTTGTGTGAAAGCCATAACTTCCTTCTCTTTATTCATCACCTAAGGATGTTGACAAATTAGCAAACAAATTTCAAATTACAAGTTGCTGAATAACAGAATTTGCCACTTGAGTAGGAAAAAGAAACAAATGCTTAGGGAATGAGCCAACTCATCCCTAGGTAAACAAATGCTTAGGGAAGAAAAGAAACATCTCGGTTTATAGGGCTGAATTTAGATATCCTTCTCGGATTATGACTCAAGAAGTCCTAGATTCCAGCTTCGTACGTTGCTGCCCTGCCTCTTCTTGAGCCGTACTTGTGCGATTAAGCCGAGAGTAGGCTGCAATTGAGTTCTCAGATTAGGACTCAAAATCTGAGTCCAAACATACCTCGAGTTCATATTCAACTTATTCAAGATCCAAGAGGGAAATAAAAGATTCCTCTTTCTACTTTTATTTTTTTATTATTTATCTTTTCCCCCTAGATTTTCCATAACCTATATGAGCAGCAGAAGGCTATGGAGCCTAAGAAGGAGAGGAAAACATTAAGGCAAGGTCAGTACACACACACATACAATAACTACTACTTCTACTATCCAGTAAAATCCCACAAATGACATTTGAGGGTGGGTGACTAGGTGTAAGCAGATTTTACCCGAAGATAAGGTCGAGAAAGTGTTTCCAAAGGACTAGCTCAAACATAAAAGACACATGTTTGCACAATCCAACAAGAGTAGATAGACACATAAGAGAGAGGGAGATGAGGAGAAAATGCTAACAACAAACAAAAGGACAAAAATCAAATGCTCCACAGAGCCTAGCTAACTCTAAAGTCCATAGACAAAAGAAAGGTATCTTTGTTACTCAAAAAGTCACCAATCAAGGCCTACCATACACATTTAATCCTTGGCTACCAAACAGCCCAAGCTAGAGTTATGTCCTCGAATTTCAGCAAACATAGATTTATGTCAAATAGGAATCTGTAAACATGTTAGAAAGAAATCTAGCCACTGCCATCACATACACTCCACAATCAACTCCATTACACTTGGGAATTTCTTTGAGATTCATACTCAACAAAGTAACCGACAATTCTAGATGCAAGGGCGCACACAAGCACACTCATATGACGCAAATAGGTTGAAACCAGAACCCTTTTTTTTAGGACAAACGGAAAAAATAATGTAGAATCTTTTTATGGGACGTAAGTAGTATAACTATCAATAAGAACTCAAAATAAGATTGAAATAAAAACATAAATAAGATTGAAATAAAAACATGAAAAATAGAATTTAGTAGTCTTTGCTTGTCACAAACATACACTAGTGGTATGAAAGTATGGCTTAAAAGAGAGAAAGCTTGCTAAGGCCAACATGTAACAAGCTGCCAATTGCCAAAGCACTAACCCACAAATCAAAATTTTTTGTGAATCGGAAAAAATAGAACAAAAATCGAAGCACATTCATTCATTCATCATCCTCAACCTTGGACTTTAAGGAAACCATAGCTAGGGTTAAAAATGGTTTCTAGATATACCTGGATCGGAGCTTTTAGCTAGGGAAGAAGGAGGCGGTGGACGGGATTCAAACCTAGCCGCTCGGATACTCTCGATCGAAAAAGATGAAAAACATGAAAGACGCACAAACAGAGAGGCGATGGACGAGAGCTATCGGCGATGGACGAGAGATGAGTGAATGTAGAGACTTAATTTTAATTGGGCCAGGGAATTCAAATGACATGGGTTTGGATATGAATTTGCAATTGGGTTGGTTATTAATGAGAGGAATTTGGATGTCAAATTCAAATTCTTTAGGTTCCCAAACAAGGTATTTGTATCAAATCTGGATTTTAAATCCAAATCCAAGTTCCCAAACAGGCCATAACATAATTTGAAAAGACAATTATATATTAATATGAAAAAATTTGTAATCCTCTGTTTTTTCCAATTTCTTGAAGGGTCGGTGGAGTTGTAGTTTTTATCTTTTAAGAACTATGTCTATGCTTTTGGCACCATTTTCTCACAACATAAACTTGCAGAGAAACTTGCTAAGGAAGCTGAAATGGAGTTTGATACAATTAGCATGGAGCAGAATGGCATAATTAGCTAAGATGTCATATTTGGAGAATTCCTTTAGGAAACAAACTGTTTCTAAGATGTCAATCACAGAAGAAAAAACCTAGTTGTACATCAGGTGGTGTACTCCGGGTGCAAGGACAAATATACCATTTCATCAATGACATGCTTCCTGATGGCTGCCCTCCGAGAAATTTGCAGTTGTACTTCTATGATACAGAAACAATCTCACAAGAAACCATGGCCTACCATGGGTCAAGGCTGGACAAGGAAGTAATAGATGTAATTCTCAGTACTCTTGCTGAAAACCTCTATGCAAAATTCTTCCACGATTAGAGGGATATGAACACAGTAGAAGAATTTAGCGTTATTCTTAAAAAAATCCCACCCTTGACCAAAGAGTATACAACATGCCTACCGCATCACAGGTTGCAGCCATTTGGGTAGAAGACGATGGGAATGGGATAAGTGAAAACAGGCACATTCGAGTCTATGCAAAAGGCGGCCATTCACAAACCATTCAGTATTATTATGGATGTTATGACCCTCTTCAGTATCCCCTACTGTTCCCCCATGGTGAAACACGTTGGCATGAAGGCATTGAGAAAAGAATATTACACCAATGAAACACAGGGCTAACACCAATGACAAATGAAGCTACTTCCCACATAAATATTACAGTACATCAAATACAATTAGAAGTGCAACAGATCTAATAGAGGCAGAAGAAGAGCAGTTTACGGAAGGTATACAGAAGAAAAATAGAGTATCATGCCGAGAATACTATGCATACAAGCTACAAATGCGACCATTGAATGAGACATTCTTACTCCATACAGGAAGACTACTACAACAATTTGTAGTTGATATGTATGTGAAATTGGAAACACAATGCTTGGACTACTTCAGACAAAAGCAAACAAACCAACGAACATCTACACTAAATGATTTGGAACAAAGCATAGAGATGGGAATACAATTTGGAGCTGATGTTGGAAAACGGATTGTGCTACCAGTAACTTTCATTGGTGGCCCACAAAATATGCGACGGAGGTACATGGATGCCATGGCACTTGTACAACGATTTGGGAAACCAGACTTATTCCTAACAATTACATGCAACCCAAACTGGCCAGAAATAAAAGAGTCAATGCGCTACACAGATGAAGCTCAAAATAGGCCGGATTTGATAGCACGGATTTTCAATGGTCGAATCCATGAACTGAAAATAGATCTGTTCCAAAGAAAAATATATGGGGAGGTATCAGCTTAAATGTATGTCATAGAGTTCCAAAAAAGGGGATTGCCTCATGCCCACTTCCTCATAGTGCTGAAGAAACACAACAAAATTATTTCTCCAACTCAATGTGACAAAATCATATTCTTAGAAATACCTGACCCTGGCCAATATCCAGAACTGTATTTAAAGGTCAAGAAACATATGATTCATGGCCCATATGGCCCCCTCAATCCAAAATGCAGTTGCATGACTCAAAAAAATCCAAATCAGCCACTGCGATGCAAAAGTAAATACCCAAAAAAATTAACCGAAGAAACAAGTTTTGATGAAGATTGTTTTCCCATATACCGCAGGAGACTAACCACAAACACTGTTGATGTGAGGAACTGTTCTCTAGACAATCGTTGGGTGGTTCCCTACAGTCCATACCTACTCATGAAATATGATTGCCATGTAAATCTTGAAGTATGTGCAATTGTGAAGTCGGTGAAGTATTTGTACAAATACATATACAAAGGCCATGATAGAATTGGGTTCAACATTGAACCAAATCATAATGAGGTCATCGACGAAATAGTAAATTTTCAAAAAGGTCGATGGGTTTCACCACCGGAGGCAATGTGGAGAATTTATGGCTTCACAATGACTGAGATTAAGCCATCAGTAATACATTTGCCAGTCCACCTCCCAAACCACCAATACATCAGCTTCTATAAAAAATCAAAGAATAAGACAAATAGTGGCCGGCGACACATCTAGTAGAACCATGCTCACCCAGTTCTTCCATATGAACGCCCATGACAGCCTTGCAAAACAATTGAAATTGCCTTATATACAATTTCCAGAATATTTTGTTTGGCACAGCCAACAAAAACAATGGGCACCGAGAAAAAGCAAAGACGTCATTGGAAGGATATCATCAGTTAGCCCTGCACAAGGAGAACGGTACTACCTGCGCATGCTCCTACAACATACGCGCTCCCCAACATCCTACGAAGACCTAATGGTGAACGATCAAAAGTGCACCACGTTCAGGGATCCAGCAGAGAAACATGGGTTGCCTGTACATGATACCTGCATTGAAGAATGCATGACAGAAGCTATCTCCTACCAAATGCCATCAAGTCTATGACACCTATTTGCAAAATTATTATTACATCGTGATGTTCCAAACCCAAAGAAAACATGGGAACATTTTAAAATCGACATGTGTCAAGATATCACAAAGGATCCAAGCATAAACATAGAAGACGCAGAAAAAGCATGCCTCAGAATCATATCTGATTACTTGTACAGCATGGGAAAAAACATAGACGACTATGCCTTGGTATCATACAAAATAAACACCTCCCAACAAGATCAAATTACACGTGAAGTTGCAGCAGAATACAATATAACAGTAAAAGATGCCGACATTGAAGCTCTTGCTCTACTAAACACATACCAAAAAAAGGCATTTGATGAAATAATGAAAGCAGTCAACGAAAACACTGGGAAAGTCTTTTTTGTCGATGGACCTGGCACATGAAAAAGTTTCTTATACAAATGCCTCCTTGCATCGATAAGAATGCGCAAATGGGTTGCTTTAGCAACTGCAAGCTCGGGTATTGCAGCATCTATCTTACCAGGTGGACGAACAGCACATTCTCGTTTTAAGATACCCATAGATGGCCAAGACTCCATAACTTCCAACATAGGAAAATATACTGCAGAGGCAAGACTACTGAAGGAAACAAGGCGAATAATTTGGGATGAGATCACAATGGCACATAAACGATCAATTGAATGTGTGGATGAACTCTTAAAGGATATCATGGGAACAAGCGATCTATTTGGCGGCAAAGTTATTGTATTTGGAGGCGACTTAAGACAGACCCGTCGTCAAAAGAGGAATGAAAGAGGACATTATATCAGCGTCGATAATCACATCTCAAAAAATTTGGACAAATGTTCACAGGATAACATTGACACAGAACATGTGGTCTAATGATGATCCTGCATTTTCTGAATTTCTCCTACGGGTTGGAAATGACACTATCCCAAAAATCAACAGGAACAAAATATGCCTGCCCACTCCTTTCTTGATAAGCCCACAAAATAACAAACCTCCATTATCAACACTAATGAATGAGGTATTCCCAGACCTGAAGAACTTCTTCACCGATCCGTATGCAAATTTGAAAAATGGCATTTTGACGCCAAAAAATCAAACTGTGGATGACATCAACTCCACCCTCATAGAAACTTTCCCAGGAACAGCATCATGCTCTTATAGTATAGACACCCCAACAGACAACAACCACTTACATTGTGAGGACTATTTGCACTCAATCACCCCAAACGGCCTTCCACCCCACAGGTTACTCTTGAAAATTGGATGCCCCATAATGTTGTTAAGAAACTTAAACCCATGAGAAGGTCTATGTAACGGGACACGACTCATTTGCAACGAAATTCACAACCATGTAATTAGTTGCACTATAGCCATTGATGACAAAACAGGGCAGCATGTATTCATACCTAAGATACCCCTTGAGATATCTTCTGACGATGATTGTCCAATTGCATTTAAGAGATTTCAATTCCCAGTTAAACTATGCTTTGCCATGACCATAAACAAAGCACAAGGACAAACAATGCACAACGTAGGCATCTACTTAAAAGAACTTGTGTTCAGCCATGGCCAACTTTATGTCGCAATATCAAGAGCACAAAAAGGTTCAAACGTGAGGATCCTCATTTGCGATGAAGAGCAGCAGGACAAATTTACTTCAACAACAGACAACATAGTATACAACAAAATCCTCCAACACATTGACATAAACGGTAACAAGATGCACATGCACCATTTAACACAAGTAAAAAAACACAAAAAAACACACAAAATACTCCACAACACCATTAACGTTTCCCTATTGCAGGTACTCCTGCTCCACGGGACCACTGGACGCATACTACCCAATAAATCAGGTACTAAAAACATTATGAATTCCACAGTAGAAACAGCCAAAGAAAAAAATATTATAACATATTTGATATGCAACCTTTTTGTGGTTTAACTTCCTTTGATTGATTGACAGGTTTCTATTCCAATGGATACTCAATTACTGGGTGTTTTGGATCAGAATGTTCTCTGATTCCCAGACATATAAATTGCTGTTATGGCCATTCACAAATTCATAAAGTATTACTGCTTGTGTACTCTGAAAAATGATACCCTGAAGAAAAAAACAGCCCTAAACACTTAGCCCTCTACAAAAACTTATTAATATCTAATCCTATTAGAGTAGAAAAAGATTTTGCATACTGCAGAATATATATTCCATGGTTGCTAGAAAAATTAAGAGCTAATAAGGAACATATCTTGAAGAATGAGTTCTACATTGAAACCCCATACAACTTACTGCACCTTTAAGTTAAAAAATTAAATCCAAAGAAGGTAGTCCAAAAAAAAATAGAAAGAAGTAATCTATTCTACAACCTTTTTGTAGTTTAACGTCCTAAAATTACTTAGTAGGTTGCTATTTTAAACAATACTAGACTATTTCTCTGTGAAGCATAAAAAACTTTCCAACATTTCAGATGTCCCCAATTCTTCGCGAAGCATCAACATAACAATTCGCCTTGATTTCCTGTTACAAATTATTGCAGATTTCGTGGTACGCTGTTGAGAATTATTTACGTTTTTCGTCTTCAGTTTCATGATCAATGCCCGGGTCTTTACATCCGAAGGAAATGGAATGATGCACTATCCGCTGCTTTCCTCCTAGGTATAATGCTATTAATTATGTTTTCTTTCTAAACTACTTGAACTGCATTTATGTGTAAAAAAATAAAAAAAAACACTTTAAACCAGTAATTCTATACGTTTAGTTACTTATTATGCAATTTTGTAATACCATAGACATTTTTTAAAGACTAATTACTTTTACAAAGCATCTCTTTTGCATCTAATTTTCATTTAATAAATCCTTCTTAATACCTATACTATGAGAGCGAGAAAGATAAACCCAAGAATGAATATGCACCTCATTTTAATTTAGATAATCCTTCTTAAGCAACTCATTTTAATTTAGATATGAATATGCACCTCTTCAATGAATGGAATGTCGATGAATTGTCTAGCCATACCTGAGGTGCTGAGTTAACATAATATATTTTTTATACAGACCACCACAGTTTGTGTGGTACTTGTTACATTACCTCTTTGGCCATCACTCTAAATTTAAATGGTATGGACCAAACAAGTTTATTTTAAGTAAGAGTAACTTCTTTCAAGGTGGAGCTTTAATCTTATGTTGTGGTTAATATCACAGATTACAGATGTCACACTCAAATTCTTCATCATCATCCCAATCATGTTGGTTGATGGCATAAACTTTATACTGTGAAGTAATTGCATAAAATTATTATGTTTTTCTTTTGAATGATTTGTTTTCTTTTGTTTGAAACAATAGGCTACCTATATCCATCCTACAATCAAAGGGATTTTAGCACATTTGTTACAAGATGTGTTCAATGTTCAATTTTTGGTGTTATTAACAACTAAAACAGTTTTCATTGCTCAAAATAACTTGATGCTCCAAAATTACACCAACTCAATTGCAAGACTACTAAATGCGGGGTGTCCAGACCTACTAAAACATTGTTTGTATTTCATTCATTTCCAGAAGGTTGCCCCAAGGCTGTGCCAGACAAACAACCTCACAGGTGTTATTTCGAAACACGTTGTTGGACAAGTTTGCAGTGAAGGAGATGTAACAAACAAGAATGTTAATCGCCAGTTAAATCCTTCATGCTAGAGTTGCAGGATTCCAGGTTTGTCCATATGGTTTTGGGCTTGTGTTTAAATAGAACGTCATTACTTACTAACGCTTGGTGTATTGTGACGTTATTTGACCTGGGATATTCACATGGAAGTTCAAGATTAAAGGTAATTTAAGGCTTATATTTGTTGCAAGTTTAACAATATTTTTTACATAAACATTATTAGACTCCCCTATGATATTCATAAGATATCCATAATCTTTTTTAAAGTGGCCTTTTCAGTATTGTGAAAAAGCTTTGCCCTCAATCAATGACTTCATTAATGCTTTTGGAGATTCCACTTGCAGCATACCTGGAAACTCATTCTAAATATCATAATCCTGGAGATTTAGTTGTAGAATAAAATGTGCAGTATTGACTAAGTAATAAGAGTCGGAGGTAGGTATTCTATTCATAATTTCTGGCCGAACGGCTGAAAAATATGTATATATGCTCTTCGTCTCATTCTTTTCTTGGTTTAATTTCAAAATGACTTTATTTCACTGCTAAGCTCAACCAGATTATGGGCATGTTTAGGAATAGCGTTAGAGATTAGCGTTAGCGTTTTGAAAAGGCTATCTACGGCCAGCGTTTAGCGTTAGCGTTTTTAAAGTAATCTGCACCATTAAAATCTTATCCAAAACGCTAACGCTAATCTCTAATGCTATTCCCAAACAGGCCCTATATGATCATCTTACTTTTCACATATATGGTCCTAAAGTACTTTAGATGCATGTGGTTAGTTTTCATATAGGGCGATATGCTTTTGTACTACTTGCAAAAAATTATGTTACTATAACTGCAACAACGGTCGGAATGTTTCATATTCAATAAGACGTGACGTAAGGAATATTAACACCACGGCCTACTCTTTCCCGGAAATTCGATCAGACCAGGTTCCTCTTAAATGCGACCCTTCATTCCAACAGTTTGCTTCTAAGGTTTTTCTGTGTCCTTCTTTTAGTCTCCCTAAAGCACAATACGATCCCATTTTTCGTACTACTCCTACTGCCCCTGCACATATATCATTTTAATCTCGTGAAACTTCTACACCCAAAGGTGATATTCAACTTCATGCACAGATAAAATTATCAATAGTAATCTGAAAATGTTCACTGCTTATTATTGGTTTCGGGTTGACCCAACAAGTTATGACTTTGGATTCAAAAATTTCAGGTTACTTCGGGTTCGGGAAACTTCAGGTTCGGGTCAATTTAAGTTCAGATTAAGAACTGTATGTTCATAACCATTATCATTCAGTTTGGGTCGACCCAACCTTTAGGTAAAATTAAAATATCAAAAAAAATGTACTATATATATTATTTTATTTTATTTTAAATTATGAACTAATTTTACCTCTTAGATCTATGTAATTTGAAGCTCCAAATAGTTGAAATACAATGTAACACAAAAATTTATGCTCGAGCTTCTCAATGATGTTATATAACCACTACCTTCATCACACACACACATACATATAATGTTTTTGTACACTAAAACATTTAATTCTTGGAACAGTCTCACTACAATCCCTTTGAAGTTTTTCATGATCTTAACCAAAAGGTCAAGAAAGGTAGTAGAAAATTAATTTTTTCATACATCAGTTCCATCCCATTAAACTTTAAACACAACACAATAACAAAAAAATATTACATATATACTTGGCTGGAGAATCAATTTCACAATATTGACCTTGGTAAGAGTTTTTTCAATTTATTAACCTTTTCCATGACCTATTTCATGACAGGGTTCATTAAGACAAATAATTTCAACCAGATTGGGACAAGTAAATTACGCCTGAAGAAAATCAGGCAGAACAAAATCAGATACAACCAAGTACCGGTATTGGTTTTCCTATTTTTTTAGGATATATCCCAACAAAAGTTTGCTTAGTATGAAGCGCTGCACTCGTATTCGTTTCTTACTTTGGGGATTGGACTAAGCAAACTTTCGTTTCTTACTCTTGCCACTAAAAATCAAAAACCAATTCCATGCATGACCGATATTGCGTATTATTTTCTGATGGTATACTAACACTATGTTTGGTTCAAGGAAATCAAAAGAGAAAAGAAAAGAAACTGAAGTAGAAAACAAGTTTTCTTGTTTGGTTAGAAAGGAAAAGTGGAAGGAAAAGAGAATAAGAAGGCAAAATGTACCAAGTGGAGAGAAAGCCAAATTCCTCCCATTTTGGTGAGGAAAATCAGAGAAAACAAGTTTCTTTTCTTTTCCTTCAAAATTCCTTGAACCAAACATAGTGTAAAAGAAAATTTAAGTACAATGAAATTAATATTACTTTCGTGCAAAGTTCCTATCACTCATGCTTGTGTATTTAATATTGTCATGTCAGCATCTTGAGGTGAGCACACTGGTCAAAGTAATGACACTTGATAACTTCAAGTTCATGCAGTGGATGAACCACTACATCGAATCTATAAAAACCGCACGAGCTACACTCTATAAAATCTTTGGATGATTGATGGTGACAATGATTCTTTAATATTGACCATAATAGAATCTATGGGCCAAATACTTAATGTACATCATCCTTCATGTTTATCCATACACCCTTGATGAATTTCAAAGTAGCTTCATATTATTTCTTCCCTTATGCGTAAAATAACTTAACCTACTTCGACAACACTTTACTTGAAAATTCAGGGCGAACCCACTATTTACCAATGTTTAAACAATTATAAAAAAAATTCATTGTCATTAATGAATCAGCATTGTGCATTGTTTCAAATTGATTTTAACATACTAATTCTCATCCATGTTAGTCATTCAATCCACAAACCTACCAAGAAAAATCATACTGCTAATTTGTTCAAAGAAAAAAAATGACGACACCATAACCCATCCATCGCGTGGAAGAATGCTAGTGTGTGTGTGTGTGTGTAGGGGGCGGTTCAGGTGAGAATGCACCTTGGTGAAATAAATAAGAATAAGCTCTAGCCTTTGGATCTGATGCATCAGGCGGCTCAGATTGCATCCTGCACTCAGATTTTGAAATAGTGCATTTTTAAAGGATTTTGGTGCATTTCGACATTATGCATTTTCAAATCATTTTGGTGCATCTAACTTTGATGCAATCCTGACCCTTAGATCTCTCAATCCAAAGCACCAGATTCATTCTTATTTCTTTCATAAGATTGCATTCTCACTTGATCCAATATATATATATATATATATATATATATATATATATTCCTAAACATTGTAGAGTATAAACTATAAATAAGTACAAGATACTAAATATAATAATTAACATAAAACAAAATAATTATAATGCAGAAACTTGATAAAATAACAGACTCATTCTTTACCAGGCCCAATGTAGAGAAAACTATTTGGGTAGTATCAAGGATACCCCAAGCTTAGATGAGGATACCTAGTTTTTGGAAATTAAAAACCCAATCAGATTGGGTAGTATCACTAATGCAAGAATATTAGGTGTGGAGAAGGTATAGATGTGGAGATATGAGACCTTGATCATGACTTAGAAAATAATGCATTCATAACCCAACCTCAAAGCGATCCACATTTTCACTTCGCATCACTGCTCCTATCTTCTAAAAGTCATGAGGTTCCCATGTAAAAAAATTCAAACCAAGAGAAAAAGAAGTGCGTATGAAGAAAGTGGCATAGGGAATCAATAACGTGCTAAAGAAAGTAGCATAGGGAATATACAATATGAGATCCATCATGGATCCCACAAGCTTAGATGAGGATACGTAGTTTAAGGCGGTTGATTTGCTTGGCACCAAAGGAAAAAAGATGTGTTCTTGAAGATATCACCTGAAGAAGGCCATGTTAAGTTGGATATCCCATAAAATGAAGAGATATATTAGGATGAATGAAAGGTTTCATGACTTTATTTTGAATGTTTTATCTATACTTTATATAAAAAAGAAGGGAAACAAAAAACTGCTGTCAGGTACCCTCTATTTTGTGGTAAGAACTGCCAGGTACCCCTAATTTTTAAAATATACTCTCAGGTACCCCAAAATATAAAAACATATACCAAGAGGTGATTTCCCATCCATTCTCTATCTCCTCCTCCTTTCTCCGTTAAATATACCACCACCATCATCATCCATCATCAACCATCATCATCATCATCATTCCACTACCACCATCACAACTTCTTCGTACTTCCTCCTTCTCTTCTTTTTTTATTTTTATTTCTTCTTCTTCTTCTTCTTCTTCTTCTTCTTCTTCTCCTATTATTATTATTATTATTATTATTATTATTATTATTATTATTATTATTATTATTATTATTATTATTATTATTATTATTATTATTATTTATATTATTATTATTATTATTATTATTATTATTATTATTATTATTATTATTATTATTATTATTATTATTATTATTATTATTATTATTATTACCATTATTATTATTATTATTATTATTATTTAGTTGTTGGGCAATGTCTTGGGAACCTTGCCCAACAACTAAATAATAATAATAATAATAATAATAATAATGGTAATAATAATAATAATAATAATAATAATAATAATAATAATAATAATAATAATAATATAAATAATAATAATAATATAAATAATAATAATAATAATAATAATAGGAGAAGAAGAAGAAGAAGAAGAAGAAATAAAAATAAAAAAAGAGAAGGAGGAAGTACGAAGAAGTTGTGATGGTGGTAGTGGAATGATGATGATGATGATGGTTGATGATGGATGATGATGGTGGTGGTATATTTAACGGAGAAAGGAGAAGGAGATGGAGAATGGATGGAAAATCACCTCTTGGTATATTTTTTTATAATTTGGGGTACCTGAGAGTATATTTTAAAAATTAGGGGTACCTGGCAGTTCTTACCACAAAATAGAGGGTACCTGGCAGCAGTTTTTTGGAAGGGAAACCCTTATTTCCTTTTCTGGCCTAAATATTTTTCACTTACAAATAGTAATTGCTAAACTAAAATAGGTAAGTGTTTAATGTCAATCAGCTATTAAAAGGTAATCAATTTTTTTAAATTTAACGCGGTACCATGTGTATTAAATTAAACACATGTGAAAACAATTAAGATGCAATGTGTGTAATAAAATAAAAGGTTGAAATGGTAAGTAACACCAAAAAGGTGTGTAATAAATTACAATATTGAAATGATATGAAACACCAAAAATGTAAATTATACTCCTTCCGTTCTAAAACCATCTTCTCACTTCTCAATTTTTCATGTTCTAAAACTACCTTCTCATTTCTAAAAAAAGGTGCAAAGTGACCAACATACCCCTCTTACCCATTACTCCCTATTTGCATCCCTTCCCTCAAATAAAAACCTAGATCTACTCTTCCTCCCTAGTCCCTACGTACCCTTCGATGCCTCTCAATCTACTCGGACCTTTCTTTCCTTTGTTTTTCTGATTGCCGCCGCCGACGTCTCGCGAGTGAGCAGTAGGTTGAGTTCCTGTTTCTCTTTTCAATTTACAAAAGCCCAACTTGATTTCCTATTTCGTTTTGAATTCTTCCAATGCTAAAGCTTCGAAAGAAATTGAGCTCCTATTTCTTTTTTCTTTCTTCATCACAACGATGAAAGGGTGAGTTCTTTTTGGGTTGGGTTTTTTTAGCTTTTTGTTTTTTCAATTTCTTCAAATTGACGGGAGAAGATATTTAAAAAGGGATGGAATTGGGTTTTTTCACTACAGAGAAGCAATTACTTGAGCCGCCGTCGCTGAATCATTAGCGTCGACGCTTAATTACATCGCCCAATCGCCAGAATAAGGGGGTCGTTCGTTTTTGAATTTGGATGGGAGTTGGTTGTTGTTCTCCAAATTTTAGAATGAGGGTATTTTTGGAAGGTCAAAGGTATATTTACTCATTCCTTAAAAATGGGTTAAAGTCAAACCGGGAAGGTCAATTAGGACGGAGGGAGTATTTAAAAATTAAGATGTAATTAAAAATACAAAAATGATAAGTAACACAAAAAAGGTGTGCAATAAAATAAAATATTGAAATGATAATTAATACTAAAAATGTAATTAATATTTATAAATTAAGATATAGTGTGTGTATAAAAGCGTAATCAAAGGTATATTAAATTTATTAAATTTATGATATGGTGTTGTAAAAAATTAATTAACACGGTACCCTATTTCATTTTAACTTCATAGTATTTTAAATAAAATACTTTTCTTTTACACGGTTTTGGTAAAAATGAATAATAAATACACTGTAAATACCTATGAAATAAATAAAATAATTTTCTTATTTTATTATGTGTGCAATAAAATGGTAAGTAAAACAAAAAAGGCATGTAATAAATTAAAATGTTGGAATTGTATGTAACACAAAAAACACCAAAAATATACTCCGTAATTTATATTTATAAATTACTAATAACAAATACAAAAATTGTAAGTAACACCAAAAAGGTATGTAATAAAATAAAATGTTGAAAGAGTGAGTATACCAAAAATGTAATTGCTATTTACAAATTAAGATGTAACTGTGTATAAAAACATAATTAAAGGTAATTGAATTTATGATACGATGTTATAAAAATAATAATTAATATGGTACCATGTTTCAATTATAACTTCATACGTACAATAAATAGAGAAATTTTCTTAGCTGTGTAAATAAAATAATGATTTTAACATACTTCATTTCTCTATATTCTATTAGATATCATTTTCTATCATACAAAAATAATCTAATTTAGTAACATAAATATGACCCGTGCAACGCACGGATGTAATACTAGTGTGAGTTTGTTTTAGTTGAGAATTTAAAATACTCGTGATATATTTAGTTGTTTTAAAATATGCTTGGTTTAAATTATTTTCAATTATATGCAGGTGTCGAGCTTCAAATTTCAAATAATTTTGGTATCTCCTTATGGTATGTATACTCTCGTATTGGAGTTTTGCAGTACCTTCTTATGATACAAACTCATATATTGATTTGCTTGTTATTTATGATTTGTCCTTGAAAAAATATTATTTTCTATCTTGAACAAGGAGAACAAGACTCCGTATATATAGTTACAACAAGGGTGTAAAGTGTAAATAAGGAAACCTATACATAAGGAAAACTACCATATACACAAGATACTATATTAAATATAGAATATATTTAACATGCGCCCGACTAGGTGACTGGGGAAGAACGGACGCCAAGACTGTGTCTGAAATCGGAGAAGAGAAGCGATGGCAACCTTTTAGTGAAGATGTCAGCGTACTGGGAGGACGATGGGACATGAAGAACAAGAACTTGTCCCAGTGCGACCTTGTCTCTAACGAAATGAATGTCAACCTCTATATGTTTGATGCGCTGGTGCTGAACAGGATTAGAGGATAGATAGACGGCACTAACATTGTCACAAAAAACCAGTGTGGCGTGCCTAGGCGGCTAATGCAGTTCTAGAAGTAGATTTCGGATCCAAGTGGTCTCGGCTACTGCATTGGCAACGGCTCGGTATTCTGCCTCAGCGCTGGATCGAGATGTGGTAGCTTGTCTCTTAGAGGACCAAGAGATGAGATTATCCCAAGGAAGACACAATACCCAGAAGTGGAGCGACGAGTATCAGGGTAGCCCGCCCAGTCAGCGTCCGAGTAGGCTTGTAGAGATGCAATGCTGGTGCGATGAAGTGTAATCCCATGAGTGATGGTGCCATGAAGGTAATGAAGAACCCTCTTCATGGCTGTGAGATGAGTGCTGCGTGGGGCATGAAGATGAAGGCAAAGCTGCTGTACAGCATAAGTGAGGTCAGGACGTGTGAAGGTGAGTACAGCTTTGGGTTAGTACTTTTTATTCAATTTTAGCCATTTTTAATATTTTTAGACTTTAATTTTTAGTTGTTTAGCTTAGTTTTATTTTAATTCTTATTTTTACACTCTTTTTATTTTCTCTCAAAAATAGTAGCTTTTTAATCATTTTTTACATTCTTTTATTTTTATTTTATTTTTCCTAACCCAAATTATCAGATATCTTATATGTGGAGAAAGTGCAGCAAAAGGCCAAAGTGCAGTTCAAGTTTAAAAAGAAGATCAAAATTGGGTTGAAGCCCAATCCATCATCAACAACAATAACCGGCCCTTTCCTCCTTTGCTTTTTAATTAGCACAAGTAAAAGAAAAAAAAGTCTACGACTCCTTCTTCGCCATCGTCAACGGAGCGCAGCGCCCAAATCAAACGCATAACTCCTCCAACGTTCGGCTCCATCAATTGCGCAGCAATCAATTCAGCTCCTCCTTGCTATAAATTGAAGAGAATCGACACACATGAAAGGGGGGGAAACACACGAGAATAAAGCAGCGGCCAAGCCGCTGCTATGGCGGAATCCGGCGGCATCAGTTCCGGCGATGGTCGGCGGTGATAGGTCAGGCGGTCCCTTCAAGCTCCAATTCTTCAATTACTTCTTCTTCTTCAACAATTGGTAACCCTATATGTTATTTCTTCAATTTCTTCTCCAATTTCATTGTAAAAGTGTTGTTTCAATTCAAATTTACATTTTTTTTCCCTTGTTTGTGTTAATTTCGAAAATTCCAAAATGGTTGGTGTTCTTTTATGGGTTTTTTATGTAATATTAAATCCCTTATGAATGAAAATTGATTCTTACTAGTTTCTTCAATTTTTGCGCAAATTGATGTTAAATCGGTTGAATTATAAATTTGATTTCATAAGTAGGTTGGTATGTCGACTTCGGTTATCATTGAAGCTAATTTAGCTACATATTTTAGTTAAGTGATTCTCGAATTCATACGTGAATCTTTTTTTTGTGACTTGTGTTTTGTAAAATTTTAAGGATTTTGGACTTCTTAGCCACATAAGTCGAACGTTTTCCTTAAGATTCGTTATAGAGTGATTGTTTATGTCTTGGTGTTTTTGTTTGTTATTTTCATAAAAATTGGGATTGTTTAAGCGCAATAAACAACTCTTGATTTAATGAAAATATGTAATGTTCTTTTATGTGAATAGATTACAATTCTTATGCTTGAGTAGTTCAAGGAGACCTGCAAAATATTTTCATCATTAGACGTTAAAGTTTATTAAAGTGTATCAAATGTTCTTCATGAATACTTT